CTCTTGGACCCCAGACTGACAGCGGGGAGGCCAGCATGGGACTGATCTGGAACCCCCCCGAATGTGAGTGTCAGTGAGGAGGCCTGGGCAACCTATGGGGCCCTGAGCAGTGGATCAGAGTCTATCCCTGGAATACAAACAGTCATCGTGTGCCCATAGCACAAAGAGGGATGCTCTCTCAGCCTGGACTCTTAGGGGAGTGCCTGGACCCTACCCAGAGTGAAATGACAGACTCTAGATATCCCCTATGTGGAAGGAATTGGCAATAGGGTGGGAGGCTGGGGGGGGATGGGGAGTGCAGGAGGAGGGGGAGGGAGAGGGAACTGGGATTGACATGTAAAACATGCTATGTAAAATTAAAATAAAAATAATAAATTCTTTTATTGTTTTTTGAGACAGTCTCCCTATGTAGCTCCTGGCTGTACTGGCACTTGCTATGTAGACCAGGCTGGCCGTGTACTCACAGAGATCCTCTTACTTCTGCTTCCTGAAGGCTGGAATTAAAGGTGTGTTCTACCATACCTGCCTGGCTTATTTTTATTCTGTTTAATAATATGTCTGTATGTAGGTATGTACACATGAGTGCAGGGGCTTTGGAGGCCAGAGGAATCTGATCCCTTGGAGCTATAATTAGATGGTCATGAGCTCCCTGATGTGGGTGCTGGGAACTGAACCTGGGTCCTCTGCAAGAGCAGTATGAGCTCTTAACCTCTGAGCCATCTCTTCAGCCTTGCCATCCTATTTTTTTGAGACATGGTATCTCACTGAACTTGAAACTCACTGATTGGCTAGGCTGGCTGGCCAGTGAGTTCCAGGGACCCACCTAGCTCTTCCTCCCCCAGCCAAGGATACAAATATTCATGACCTTGTGTGTATTTTATATGGATGGTGGGGATATGAACTCAGGTCCCTAGGCTTGCCCAGTAGGCACTTACGCTATGGTGCCATCTTTCCAGCCCCCACAAACCACTATTCTGTTATTTTGTAATCAATTACTTAATGACTACCTCCGGGAAGATGTTTACATTCCTGTGAATAACTTTTTTTAAAAATTTTTATATGCATTGGCATTTTGCCATGAGTATCAGATCCCCTGGAACTGGAGTTACAGACAGTTGTAAACTGCCATGTGGGTTCTGAGAATTGAACCCAGGTCCTCTGGAAGATCAATCGGCACTCTTAACCACTGAACCATCTCTCCAACCCCTCTTTTTCTTCTTTTCTTTTTAGAGATAGGGTTTCTCTCTGTAACAGCCTTGGCTGTCCTGGAATTCACTCTGTAGACCAGGCTAGCCTCAAACTCACAGAGATCTGCCTGTCTCTGCCTCCCAAGTGCTGGGATTAAAGGCATGTGTCACCACTGCCTGGCATAGGTTTTTTTTTTTTTCTGAGACAGGGTTTCGCTGTGTCACAGCTCTGGCTATTCTGGAACTCACTTTGTAGATCAGGCTGGTCTCAAACTCACAAAGATCCTCCTACCTCTGTCTCTCAGCATTACTGTGAATAACTCTTTCCCTTCAAACAATGACCCACTGCTTTTAGGATCTTGCAGTAGCTGTCTCCAAGAGTGATTGTTACTGTTAACACCAGTGATGGGTTTCTATCCCCTTAATTTTCCTGCATGAATCAATTGGAATTCCTATATAAAATACACCATTTCTTTTCTCAATTGTTTGTGCAATTATTTATATCAGTATGGATTTATATGTATTTATTTTATCCTTTGGACTTTGTTTTCTGGCTCAAATTGTAGCTTTGGCCATTGTGAGCCCCTTCACCTCAGGTCAGTGTTCCTTGGACACATCCCATCTTATTTTGAGCGTGTCTTCATTTTCTGGCACCACGAAATGTTCTAGAGTTGTCATTTCCTTTTCCAGAGACACAACTGCTTCTCCAAAGAGCTCTGGTTCCTCTTCCAGGAGGACAGCCTTGTTCTAAGATATGGCTAGAATCTAGAAAACACTGCCCCCCCATGCACACACATATTTGTGTACATAGCACACACACACTTCTATCTCCTGTCCATCTATTTTTCAAGTATTTACCGCTAAATGTTTGAAACCATTGTTTACAGATGGCTTTGTTATGCAGTGGTAGCTGGCTGATGTACATGGCTAGGACTTTACACATTTTCAGCCTCCTTGCTGCACGGCATCCTAGAAGGCAGTGTTAAGTGATGGGAAGAGAGGAGGAATTTTGTTTGTTTTTATTACTTCTTTCACAGTTCCTCCAGATATGAAAGGAAGCATTTTTGAAAGTGCCTAAATTGGTTCTGCCAAACTCTCATAGAGGCCCCTCCTTGCCTTTTGTTCCTAAATCCCCGTAGGCCACTGCTTTCATTTTGCCCACCAGGACCTGGGAGTAGAGGTTGCTTCCTTCTGCTGTCTTGCCAGGTCCCTCAGAGCCTGTTTTGCTCTTTTAGCACTTGGGCAGTCATTTTACTCATTGGCTTCCTTGGGTGAGGTTTTATTTCACTGACTGGAAAACACTGGGTGGATTCTCAAGGTTGGGTCAAGGTCCTAATGTTGGAGAGACCAGAGAACAGATGAGCAGAGAGAAACTCAGTGTGTGCATACATCTGTGTGCAGTGTGGTGACTCGTGGGATACCAGTGAAGCAGGGTTTAGGAGATGCCTACAGCACTCACTGTGGCATTAGAACAGGAGGAGGTCTCCAGCAGTGGCCTTCCACCTTAAAAATCAGGAAAGGAAAACAGTATCAAGTTACTTCAAAGTAGCAGAAAAGGATAAATCCTTGATAAGCTGACAAAACAGGACAGAAAAATCTGTGAAACCCAAGTCAAGTTCCTTAAATAGATGAACAAAACTGAGTACTAGGAGAAGGGAGGAGATGAAGAGATAGTAACATCACTGTGCACTGCCATCACTGAAGGACACTAAAGGGATAACACGACTATGGATTTAGCAGCTTAGATGGAACAGGAGAGTTATGGGAAGACACTAAGTACCAAAGAATAAAGCTAGATTCCAACAGAAGTGAGTTGTGATGAAAAGCAACGCAAAACAAAACAAAACAAACAAAACCTCTTTCACAAGGAGAACTCTGGGCTCAGATGGTGTCGTTGGTAAATTCTACTGAATATTTGGGGGAAGAGATCAAACAAAAAGTCAAAAATTTGAAAATGAAGGAACCCTTCCAGTTCTTTTTCTGAGGCCAGTATTACCCCAATTCAAGTAGCACACAAACACGCTATAAAAAGAAAAAATGGGCCAGGAAGTGGTGGTGCACACCTTTAATCCTATCACTCAGGAGTCAGAGGCAGGCAGATCTCAGAGTTTGAGGCCAGCCTGGTCTACAGAGCGAGTTCCAGGACAGCCTCCAAAACAATACAGAGAAACCCTGTCTCGAAAAACCAAAACCAAAAAAAAACCCCACCAAAAAACCAAATGAAAAAAACCTGTAATCATATATAGTTTATTCAGGAAGGCAGAATGGCTTAATGCTTGCAACCATTATGAGTCAGCATAGACAGGCCAGAGCTACACAATCATCTCAATAAAGGCAGAGAGGCACTCTTGAAGAAACTCAACACACATTCCTGGTTAGAAAAAAAAAAGCAAAAACAAAAACGCATGAGCTAAAAATAGAAGGGCACTTCCTTATTCAGGTAAAGGCTATCAGCAAGGCCAGAGCTGCTGCCACATTAGAAGACTGAGGCCTCCCCTGAAAGCAGGGGCAAGGCTGGGGTATCATCGCCTTTCCTCACTTCTCACCAACACTGTACAGGAAATCACAGCCAGCACACGCGTGGAGGGAAATAAATGCAAATAACTGATTGGAAAATATTCAAAGCCATCACTACTCACAGATGACATGGTTATCCATCTTGGACAACAGAAGTTTGGAAAAAGCCACTATAATGAATAGGTGACATCATCTTGGTTGCAGGAATCCTAAGGTCAACACACAAACACTGATTCTTGAAGATGGGCAAAGAGCTTGAATAGACATTTCCACAATGAATTGTCTGAGAAGTGTGTGAAGGGTAAATGCCCATGGTCAAGAAGTGCAGGAAATAGTCCCAGTACCATTTGTCACCAGGAAAATACAATAAGAACCACAGCGAGGGCAGGGAGGTGAGTAAGGCGCCTGCTGTGCAAACTCAAGAATCTGCACTTGGATCCCCAGCACCCATGTAAAAGCCAGATGTGGCAGTGTGAGCCTGTGACTCTGCCACCAGGAGAACAGAGGGTAGGAGACACCACCGGCTCACTGCCCAACCAGCCTAGCTGAAATGGTGAGCTCCAGGTTGAGTGAGAGACTGTTTCACAGAATCATGTGGAGAATGACAAAGACACTTGGTGTTGACCTCCTGCTTCTCTGTGAACTTGTGTGTGTGCATACTTGCACACATGTACACACTTGCATATGCCATACACAAACACAAACGAAAAAGAGCTATAGTGAACCCCATTCATTGAGATGCCCACTGTAAAACAAAAAAAGAAAACCAGGGGCTGGGAGGATGGCTCAGTGGTTGAGAGAACTTGCTGCTCTTGCCGAGGACCCAGGTTCAGTTCCCAGCACTCACATGGTGACTCAGAACCACATATGTCTCCAGTGACTGGGAGTCTGACACCCTTTTCCAGTCTCTGTCATATTTATACACACAGAGACACATAGGCACACACAGGTAAAAACAAGTAAGCAAAACCCCTGAAAAACAGCAAGTGTTGGAGCGGATGTTAAGAATTTGAAACTTCCAGGCAGTGATGACATACACCTTTAGTACCAGCACTTGGAAGCAGAGACAGGTGAATCTTGGAGTTCGAGGCCAGCCTGGTCTACAAATTGAGTTCCATGACAGCCAGGGCAAACAAAGAAATAAACAAAAAATAAGAAGAAAGAGAAAAAAAAGAAATTGAAATCTTGTACACTTTGGTGAGAGTGTAAAATGACAAGAGGGTGGTGGTCTTTCAAAAACTTAAGCATAGAATCCCTATATAATACAGAAATTCTATTGTTTTTGGTTAGAAACAGAAGGATCTAAAGTAAAGTCTGGAGCTACTTGTATACTGACATTGAAAACAGCGCAAAGGATGACAGATGAGCCATGGGGACAACCCAAGTGCCCATCAGCAGGTGAACGGGTAAGAAAGGTGTGGCTTATGCATACAACAGAGTGTTATCTAGTCCTGAAAACTGGGACATTTCTGACGTGTGTCATAGAATGGATGACTGTTAAGGACACTATAGTCAGTGACATAAGCTGGAAGGACAAAGAGACACTGCATGACCTCACAGGAATCCCTAGCATTGTCAAGAGAGAGGGAGGAGGGTGGAATGATTGCCTGGGGTTGGTAGGAGGGGATGTGTGGAGCCTGTTTAACAGGGATAGAATTTGATTGAAGTTTTTCTTTTAAAAAGATAATTTACTTTTTTTCATTTTTTATTTTTAAAACTATCTTACTTTACTTACCAATCCCAGTTCCCTCTCCTTCCCACCCTTCCATTCACCCCAACTTCTTCCCACCCCACCCATCATCCACTCCTCAGAGAGGGTGAGACCTCCCATGAGGAATCAACAAAGTCTGTCATATCACTTGAGGCAGGACCAAGGCCCTCCCCACTGTATCTAGGCCAAGCAAGGTATCTCTTCATAAGGGAATGGGCTCCGAAAAGCCAGTTCATGCAGTAGGGATAAATACTGGTTCCTTTGCTAGTGGCCCCACAAACTGCCCAAGCCACCCAACTGTTATCCACATTCAGAGTGCCTAGTTTGGTCTTACACAGGTTCCCTAGCTGTCATTCCGGAGTCAGTGAGCTCCCATTTGCTCAGATCATCTGTTTCTGTGGATTTCCCCATCATGGTCTTGACCCCTTTGCTCATATTATAACTGCTCACTCTCTACAACTGGACTCCAGAAGTTCAGCCCAGCGCTTAGCTGTGGATCTCTGCATCTGCTTCCATCAGTCATTGGATGGAGGTTCTATGATGGTAATTCAGGTAGTCATTAATCTGATTACAGGGAAAGGGCAGTTAAGGTACCCTCCCTACTATTGCTTTGATTCTTAGCTGGGGTCATCCTTGTGGATTCCTGGGAATTTCCCTAGTGCCAGATTTCCTGATAACTCCATAATGGCTCCCTCTCTCAAGGTATCTCTTTCCTTGCTCTACCTCTCTGTCCTTCCCTCAACTTGACCTTACTGATCCCTCATGGTCTCTCCACCCTTCCCTTCTCCCCTCCCCCCTTTTTGAGATAGAGTTTTGTTGCAGAATAATCCTTTACACTGTGTGAAGATGTGTCACTGTGATTGGTTTAATAAAGAGCTGAATGTCTAATAGCTAGGCAGGAAGATGTTAGGCAGGACTTCTGGGGACAGAGAAGATTTGGAGAAGAAGAAAGATGAAGTCACCAGTCAGACATGGGGGAAGCAGGATGGGCAGTGTAGAATAACAGTAACCTAACAACTTGAAAGAACATAGATTGAAAAATGTGGGTTATCTTAAGTTATAAGAGCTAGTTAGAAACAAGCCTAAGCCAGGCGTTGGTGGCGTACACCTTTAATCCCAACACTTGGGAGGCAGAGGCAGGCGGATCTCTGTGAGTTCAAGGCCACAGGTCTACAGAGCTAGTTCCAGGACAGCCTCCAAAAACAATACAGAGAAACCCTGTCTCTAAAAACAAAAACAAAAACAACAACAACAACAACAAAAAAGAAACAAGCCTAAGTTAAGCTAAGGCTGAGCTTTCATAATTAATTATAAGTCTCCAAGTCATTATTTGTGAGCTGAAGGCCCAAAGGAAAGCCTAGCTATAGAGTTTCTCTAAATAGCCCTGGCTGTCCTAGAATCACTATGGAGACCAGGCTGACCTCCAACACAGAGATCTGCCTGCCTCTGGCTCCTGAGTGCTGTGATTTAGCATGCACTACCACCTCCCAACAAGACATTTTACTTTATGTGTATATGTGTGTTTATTAGGATGTGTACATATGTGACTGCTCACAGAGACCAGAAGAGAGTGTCCCATCCCTTAGAGAGGGAGTTATGGGTGATTGTGAATCACCTGCTGTGGGTGCTGGAAACCCAACTCAGATATTCTCCAACAACAGCACTGTTGAGCCATTTCTCCAGAACAGAATTTCGTTTTCTCAAGTTAAAAAGAGTTCTCAAGGTAAGTGGTGGAGACAATCACACACAAGGTACGGATAATCAATACCACTGAGCTGTGTATTTAAAGAGAGCTAAGAAGGGAAATGTTATGTTACATGCTTTCTATGTCAATAAGAATCGACTGTCTCTATATATTAGCACCAAGCTAATATGAAATACCAAGGGAAAAATCTGACAAGATGTAAGATCAACACATTGAGAATTACAAAGTATTGCGGAGAGAACCCAAGAGCTAAACAGAAATCCATGCAGAGTCATAGGCTAGAAGACTGATCTTTCTGGGTATTGATTCTTCCAAACTGATTTGTGTGTTCAATGCAACCCCAGTCAAAATCCCTTCCAATTTAAGACATAAAAAGCCTATATACCTACCCACCCACTTATTCCAACCCATCCAATCTGTCTGTCTGTCTGTGCTTCCTACTCACTCATCTATCCACCTACTATCTATTCAGTCATTCAGCTATCTACCCATCATCCACCCACCAATCATCCCTTTGTTCATACATCAATCCACCCATTCATACTTTTTTATATGTTTTTATTTGAATTAGAAATGTGAATGTTTCACATGTCAGTCCCACACCCATTCATACTTTATACCCCTTACACCAACCCAGAAGCAAAGCTATTGGGTACATGAAGTGTTAATCTAATTAGTCTTTATCAATAAAAAATCATGAGTCAAATATGTAGTATAAACCTGGAAGATCAGAGACCTTGGAGCAGCCAGTTGCGTCCTACATCTTCTGTTCCTCCATCCAAAAGGGCCGAGATCCTCACTCAACCCTGCCTTACCACTTTCTGTGTCCTCTCTCAATAGTCCTCCAAACCTCTATGGTTAGCTAGTGGCTAGCTCCACCCTCTGATTCCAAGCAAGCTTTATTTGTCAGAACACAATCAAAATAACACACATTTCCCCCTTGTCTAAATAAAAAGTTAAGATTTTAACTAACATAGTAAAACTATATACAATAAGTAAGTAACTATATACAAATATATGCAGTCAAAAATTACATTAACAATGTCTAGTACATTTGCATTTGACAAATTCAGAGGAAATACTCCATTATCCATACTATCTTGGTGATTCCAAAGTGTTGTACCTAAGTCTATCCTAATTTACATTACCCATCTAAAACTATCTTTTTATGTCTCTCAATCTTATATATTTTACACTTCTTTTGTGAGTTTCTTTTCTGAATTTGATAACAAGGAAAACTATAACTATCTAGTGTTCAACTCAATCAGAGATCTGAGAAGGATATAATATTACCCAAGTAAACAGGAATTTCAGTGCAAAAAACTTCCAAAATTAATAAATGACAGAAACAGCTGACTGCCTGGACAGTCATCCAAGATTTTTTCTGCAATGTTGGAGCATCCATCTTCAGCCCACAGGCCTAGAATATCTGACAGACTTATCTGTGAAGCAAGATTTTTGAAAGACTGTTCTACTTGCTTTGGCAAAGTTCGGCAGTCTTTTGTGTGTGTGTGTGTGTGTGTATGTGTCCTGCTTGTCCAGCTTGGACAGCATACTGTTAGCAATTGAAGCAAGGGCAGTTTTTTGCACAGTGACTGACTTTTGCCACAAAGAAAGTAAACTTCATATGAAGTTTCTATGACGCTCATCATCTTCTCTGAAGTAGATTGGTGCTGCCAGGAGCAGATATGTCTCATTGTCATAACAAAAAGAAAAGTAAGTAATAACATCTTAAATGCTGTTTTCTGTATATATCTGCAGTGTTTGAAGACCACCTGTCTCTCTAAAATATATCTGTTAGACATTGAAAACATGCCTAACATGACTACAAGTTTGATTGTGATAGATGACTAACTATTGACCTCCATTTCTTTATTGTCCTAAGTAGTTTGTAATAATAACTTTCAAGGACTAGAAATGTACATTACATTGTTAAATGAGCTGCATAGGTACAATGCTTTGAAAAAGAGTAGAAACATATGTACAGTATGTTCTAACCAAAATAACCTTAAATTTGTACCAATATACAAAAATATCTTAAACAAGAGAAGAAACAGGTATACAATATAACAAAATAACCTTAAGTTTGTATCAATATATAAAATCCATACCAATGTAAAATATTTAAGACTATTAGTTACTTTTTTGGTTTAAAAGTAGTTTCAATAATCTGTCCTTTTATCCTATCATTTCTATATCCCCTCCTTTTCTTTTCAGAACAAGATCCCTGAATCTAATCTCTTTTGCTCATCTTTTTGTTCCTGACCATTACCAATAACAACTTGTAACTAACCATCCTAAATGATAACAAATATCCATAACCCATTGAAAAACCAAAAACTGCCCACCTCACCTCTTGGGAATGTGGACGTAGTGTTCTTAAAATTACTTCCTGTTGTTTGGGAGCAATGGCATCTTTAGGGGACCCTGAAAAAATGGGGTAATTGTCAAGTCCTGGGAGAGCTAGCATATCATTTGTTGTCCCGTCTCTGTGTAATGGGAAAGTGCAGGGATTATCACAAGTCCTGGCTAGAGCAGTCTGTGAGGCTGGGCCATTTCAGCTAGCTACCTTGAAATTGTCCTGAGTGGCTTGTAGTCCAAAACCTATCTTTGGGTGGTGTTTGTCAGCTTAATGGCATTACCATAGCTCTGGTGGAATTGTTGTGGGGACCTGTCCTCCTTTTGGAGACTTTAAAGATCGCTGTTAGGCATGATCATGGTTCACTGCAGAAAACTCTAGCATTTTAAACGTCATATGCATCAGATCTGGAAGAGGTTTAAGGGCCATACTTTGTTATATACATCCAGAGTACAAAATCTTAATTTCCAGCACTTGGGAGGCTAAGGCAGGTAGATCCCTGTGAGTTTCAGGCCAGCCTGGTCTACAAAACTACTCAGGGAAACACTGTGTAAAAAAAAAACCCAAACAACACAACACAAAAACAACAACAAAAACCCCACTAATAAAAGCACAACCCCCCCAAAATTTAATTCCTAGTTACCTGATAAAGAATCAAACCCAAAATAATGTACAGGAAGCTATATGAAGCCTTTTTCTACAATTGGTTAACATTCTGTATGATCATTAATATCATGACAAAAAGCTAAAATATATATTAACCTTATACATTTGAGTAATATTTATGCCTTACGAAAATCCTTAAAGAATCAAAATAAAAACGAAGAATTATGAGACTAGTGGCAATAAAATAGGCCCTTATTTTTGTTTCTCTTCTGTCCCATATCAGGTGGCTCTTCTGACATGAAACAGAGATTTTGGATTTTACTTTAATAAGCATGCTTGGGCTTAGAGGAGAGAACCACACTCCAACTCTAAAGCCAGCTTTAACTTTTAATTGATCTGGGACTACAAAAAGATCATTTGCATTATATGTCTGTAGAGAACAGCAGAAACAAACATTTGGGAAGATTTATGAATGTTACACTGTTGGAAATGTGATACATAAATAAGCCAATTTGCTCTTTTTCATGAGATATTTCCTCTGGATGATTCGTCCTTTTTCCTCATATAACTCATTATCCAGTGGTCTTCAGAGTCTGCTGGATGCCTTCATTCTGCTGGAAAGACAAAAACAAAACCCTGCCCAAACTCTAACTTAGGGGGAGGTTCCCATTTGGAAAGTTCTATTTGATCAAAAGAAAAGCATTTGTTAGTTTTATAAGTTAGTTTAGATTGAATGGTCACACTGTTTGATGAACTATCATATCTAATCAAGAGGTCTCTCTTGTTTGAATCTAATCTTTTTAATATTTGCTTTATGGTTCTCCTGAAATTTTTGTTTTAACTTCTAAAGCTGTTCTATCATCCAGAGCAGTATGCTTTTTTTTTCCCAATAGGCATTATGTCCTGTAATTGCTCTGGGGAAGAGTTTTCCTCACAGTGACAGGGAATGATTGAACCAAATTTGACATGGAAGCCTGTGAGAGAACCCCCAAGATATTTCCCAATAGCAAAGGGTTACCTTGCTGTCCCTCATTGATCTTCCTTCATTGGTCCAATATTGGCCTTTTCTGTTCCTTTTTCACACTCCAGAAGGCAGAGGCCTTCTGTTTGGATTATTCCTAGGAAAAACATTGTTTCTAGGAATGCCCTGTCTACAATCCCTTTTTAGGTGACCTTGTTTACCACAATTAAAACACCGGACATTTTGATTTTTCTTTAAGACTCTGGAAATCACCTCTCCTATCCAAGTATCACCATGGTCATGGGATTCAATATTGACTGTATCTCAGATTTGTTCCTCTATAGGTGCTGATCCTGCCTTTAAAGGCCTAATTACTCCTTTGCATGGTGAATTAGCATTTTCAAAAGCCAAAGATTTAATTATTATTTGTCTAGCTTCTGAATTTGGTATCATTCTATTTATAGCTGCAGTCAATCTTGGTAAATATCAGTGAAGGTTTTTTCATTTTGTTTTGTTTTGTTTTTTTGGGACAAGGTTTCTCTGTGTAGCCTTTGGAACCTATCCTGGAACTCAATCTGTAGACCAAGCTGGCCTCAAATTCACAGAGATTCACCTGCCTCTGCCCCTTAATTAAAGGTATGTGCCACCATTGCCCAGCCAGTAAAGGTTTCTTTTGGGCCCTGTAAAACTTTAGTAAATGATTTAGTTTTCTTTCCAACTTCTTCAACTCTGCCCCAAGCACTCAAAGCTGCTGCATGACCTAGAGCCAAGGTGTGGTCATCATATATAGACTGTCTTTGTATGTTAGCACAATCACCTTCTCCAAGAAGTTGGTCTTAGGAAATTTCCATACCTCTCCCCCTGTTTTGTTGTTCAATTGTCTTAGCCTCATCTTTCCACCAGGTTCTCCACTGTAATTGAGGACCAGGTTCCAATACTGCTGAGACCAAATCTTTCCAGTTTTGTGGAACAATTCTGTTACTAGTTGACCATAAATTTAGCATCTGCCTCACAAGAGGTGAATGTATACTATTTGAGACTATTGATTCCTTAAATCTCCTCAAATCTAACATTTCCATAGGAATTAAGTCATATCTTACATAGACTTGGGAATACCTATCATTTGTCAGTTGTTCCTGTAGGGTGACTGGATAAATTAAGGTTTTTTTGATAACCTTGGGCTGTTTCCCTATAATTTTATAATATATTGTGAGATTGGTTCTCCTTTAAATTCTGCTGTCTTTGTCTGAATATCTCTATTATCTGTTTTAGTAAGTTTTTCTAAGGTTTGTGACTTGTCAGTTAAAATTGCATTATTTTCTTTAGTAACCTTTTCTAAGGCCTGTATCTTGGCACTCATATCAACTAACTTTTTTAGGGATAGCACAAGAATTACCAAACTGATAGTGTTTATAATTGACATTACATAAATCCCAGCTAAGTGAATTATTCACTCGCTTAATTGTTCTATTTTTAAACCATCCATTGTGGAATCATACAGAGACCTAATTCCCTCCATTGCAATAATGTGTTTGCAGGCAGATCTCTCAGTTAGAGACCAGCCTGGTCTACAAGAGCCAGTTCCAGGACAGTCTCCAAAGCCACGGAGAAACCCTGCCCCGAAAAACAAACAAACAAACAAAAAAACAAAACAAAACAAACAAAATTTTCCAAGTTGTCTCACCAAATCTGCTGATGATGGCAGTAAAGCGTAAGTGCTGCATAGCTTGTGTGGGCAGAGAACACAGGCGGTGCACAGCCCAGCTGAAGACAGCTGCTGCTGATCCAGTGTCAGCAGCCTGCGGAGGGCGTCCAGGGAAAGCCGACAACCTACAAGGAAAACGAGCCAAAGAACCAGCCATCTGAATGGTGGACACGGGGAAATGTGCGAAAGCAGTGCGTGTGACCACCAGGAAGTGAAAGCTCGGAGCTGCCTTCGGGCAGCGCTGGCCTGTGGTGAGGGGAGAACCCCGGAGGTGTCTGGAGCCCAGGCGCTTGAGGCGTGTGGAGATCGCTGTAGAGAGACTATAACAGGAAAATTCCAGACTTGCTTGAGGAGAAAAAGGAAAAGCCAGTGTTGTGGTGACTCCAGTGGGTGCAGTTCCCCTGTGCAACTCTGGCTGGTGCCGATGCCTGCAAAACCACGGGCGGAGTCGGTTTGGTGAATTCATGCCCCAAAAGTTGGACGCCAAATGAAGTGTTAGTCTAATGAATCGTTATCAGAAAAGAATCCGGAGTCAAATACATGGTAAAAACCTGAAAGATCAGAGAACTGGGAGCAGTCACCAGTTGCTCCCTACATGTTTTGTTCCTCCATCCAAAAGGGCCGAGATCCTCTCTCAGCCCTGCCTTACCACGTCCTATCTCTTCTCTCTACAGTCCTCCAAACCTCTATAGTTAGCTAGTGGCTAGCTCCACCCTCTGACTCCAAGAAAGCTGTATTTGTCAGAACACAATCAAAATATCACACAACAGGTGCCTAAGTTGTGAGGGTGGCCCATGAGAACCACACAGACATTGCTATCCTTGAGACACTCACAACAGAAATGGTCACACAGTATGACCAGGGTGGGGTGGACAGTGGTCTCTATGAGTGTGAGAATTGAGCCAAGTTTTGAGGGGAGAAGGGAGGAATTGCCCCAGAATGGCTGAACTCTTGAAAGGCAATGACCTGCCTGATACATGAGTGTGGAGGGGGCAGTGCCCTCCAGTAACCTGTCCTGTGCATACCTGTCCAGTGGAGCCTACCAGCTTGACCAGGGCCTCTATTGCTTCCTCTCTTAGCCTTCACATCCTGTACTGGGCTGACTTCCTTTCAGGGAACTCATGTAAGGGGATGTGTGTAAGGGGATATCAGTGTTCTCAACTCTTTGAAGGTGAGGGTGGGGAGCCCATTTGCTGTGTTAGAGCTTGCCTTTCTGGTGTTCCGAGGGAGGGCCCGCAGAGATGACTGTGTGACGGATGCTTGGCTGTCTGGGTCTCGGCCCAGGACTTACTGCTTTGTCCCTGTGTGGCTGGGGCTGGGGTCTCCTTTAGGAATCCAGAAGGGCTGAGAACTGTGGCTTCTTGGGAGTACCCTCTGTCGGCTGACCATGGTGAGATACAAGCTTCTCAATTCAGGTAAGTCTGGGACTTGGTGACTTGGTGTTGGATGTTTGGCCAGGATGGCAAGAGGCAGGGTTGGTGGTCAGTATGGGTGTTAGGCCAGTCTTGTCTCCTGTGCCCAGTTAGGCTCTGTTGTAGCATGAGATACAAGGTCCTCGGTAATTTGGTTTCTGTTTCTGTAGCAGGTGTTAGTAATCAAATTGACTACAGAGCATCATGGGGAGTGGCCAGAGACCATACTCGTGGCTGACACAGTAAAGGTCAGTGAAGTCACATTGAGGTAAATGGGAGCAGAGAGGAGCTGTCTGGGATACAGAGCTCATATAGCTGCAGTATGGACGGCTGTGTGGCTGCCTCCCACCCTGAGTGAGGAGGGATTGTGTGAGATGCATCAGCCAGGGTTTTCCAGGGAAACTGAAGCAGCGGAGGGTGTGTAAACACACGCAGGGGATGTGTAAGCATATACATAAAGACAAGTGTTACTTTAAGGAATTGGCTCATGAAATTGTGGGGCTGTGTCTTAGTTAGGGTTCCTATTGCTTCACCAAAACACCATGACCAAAAAGAAGTTGGGGAGGAAAGGGTGTATTAGGCTTACACTTCAGCAGTGCTGTTCATCACTGAAGGAAGTCAGGACAGGAACTCAAACATGGCAGGTGTCCTGGAGGCAGGAGCTGTTGCAGAGGCCATGGAGGGAAACTGCTTACTGGCTTGCTTAGTCTGCTTTCTTATAGAACCCAGAACCACCAGTCCAGGAATGATACCACCCACCATGGGCTGGGTCCCCCCCCATTGATCAATAATTGAGAAAATACCTTATAGCTGGATCTCATGGAGGCATTTACTCAACTGAGTCTCCTTCTTCTCTGATGACTTCAGCTTGTGTCAAGTTGACACACAAAACCAGCTAAGAGTCTGAAACCTGCAGGGAAGTTGGCAAATGGGAGACCCACAGCAGAGCTGGAGGCAGACTCCTCTCTTCCTTGTGGACCTCAGTCTCTTTTTGCGAGATCTCACTACCTGTTCGAGGGAGGATCATCTGCTCACACCTGAACACTACCTTTGTGGCAACACCAAGACTAGAGTCTGGCCAAACATTGGGTACTGAGACTCAGTCAAGTTGATAGACGGCAGAAACTGTCACTGAGAATGAGAGAGGGGCTTGGGTGGTCCCCATTTGGGGGTGGACTCCATCCTCTCTCTTCCCTCATCTTGTCCTTTCTTCTGCCTCTCTCTCCCTTCTCCTCTTGTAGTCTCTCCTCGCCTTCCCTCCAGCTTCCGGATGAGTCAGTGTGTGGACAGAGTGGAACATTCGTGTTAGGAGCCTGTGACGTCTTTGCTGCCTCCTCCCTGCAGTCAAGGCTATAAGTTCTGTGTAATTCCCTGGAACAGTGTCTTGTCCAGGTAAACACTGAAGGGCGTGGGGCCGGTGGAAGTAGGCCCAGGGTGCCTGGGACCCTGTCCACTGTTGGTTTCAGTTCTAGTCTAACTTAAGGGTTCACCTGTGACTGGGTGGGGCAGCCATTCTTACCTTGGTCACCACATCCTTGTTGCAGACACTGGCATTGCCCAGCAGCTTCCTCAAAGTATTGACATCTTCTCTCTTTCATGCCTAGGGGAAAAGCTGCAAGGAGGTGAGGTAGGGGCCTCTGGGGCCAAGAGTGGGAAACTGAGCTTCAAGGCCCATGACAGCTGCCCATCAGACATCAGCACGAAGGAAGGGGTCAATCAGATGGATAAAGTCATCATCTTTGTGCTTATCACATTCAGTGTGGTCTGAGAATCTGTCTACATGTGTGTTGGCTTCCGTGTGGCCACTCAGAGCCGTCCTGTTCACGTTTATCTTATTGCATGACCTTGACCCCCACCTAGGCTGTCCTGGTCCTCATCCTTCACTACCAGAGTTGGTAGCTGAAAAGCAGGTGATGAAGCCATTTGAACTTGATAGAGCCCTCACTGCCATTTGCCCTCACACCAGCTCCTCAAACCACTAGGGTTACAGCTTGGCTGCTGTGCCCAGCCATATGCTGGGCAGTCTGACATCAAAGCTCACATGAATCACTTGAGATCTTGCAATGGACCCCAAGGTCATCACCATTGCTTCATCCAATGGGAACACAGTGTGGACCTTCCCTACCCAAAGGGAGTCCAGTTTCTCCTCCCAGGGAGGACGTAATTCCTCCATCCAGGGAGGACTTACTTCTTCCTTGTGGTGAGGACCCAGATTCTCAGAGCTCAGCTAGATGTCTATGCTGGGCATCGTGAGTCTGGCCAGGATTCCTCTGACTCCCTCCATAGCAGAGAGAGCATGGCATGGAAAACCACAAGTTCTTGGGGCCTGGTCCATCCTTGGGTTTCCCCAGGGCATGGTGCCAGCCTGAGGGGCCCACATAGGGAAGTCAAACAATAGTTTCCTTGGCCCAGCTGGTCTAGTTCCATAATCCTTATGTTTTGGGCTCAGGCTATACTCAGGTTCTCCCACGTGCCTGAGCTACAGTATACAGTAGGAGGGACAGAACAGGGCCGGAGCTGATGGGCACAGAGAGATGGAAAGAGTGGTTTCCACACCTGCCCTGGCTGGTGGTCATTATTACTTTTGATGTCTTTTTACTGTATAGTCCCATTTCAGGCTCCAGCTGGGATACCGTGGAGGTCCCAGAGGTCTAAGTGGGTGGCATCACTAGACAGGTTCTATCACTAAAAGTACTGTTTCTCAGGATGTGGCTTTTGTGGAGAGCCTGGAAGGGCAGAATGGTGGCCTAGGAAATGAGATACATTCACCATTTAGGAAGCCTGTGACCACTTACTGCATTTTTTTTCTCACTCACCTCTGGAACTTGGGGACTGAATTGGAGCCTGAGGTACCTTGTGACCATATTCACTGTGTGTACTCTAGCCAAAGTCAGGACCTATCATTGTTTTCAGGAAGTGGAAAACATGGAGGGGGGATCCCTAGGTCTCAGTTTACACTCCAGCATGGGTGGCCACCTGAACCTCTCCACCCTTGTGTGGACCTTGGGAACCGGTGTGTCTCATAGGTGCATGTTTGCAGTTTTTAGCAGCTTGGATGCTGCATCCTGATTTCTGGAGTCATTTCCAGACATTGGCGAGGCAGCTGCAGCTTTGGGTTAAAAAGCTCAGGGGGACTAAGGATCACCAGGGCCACTGCTCTTTTGGGGGCAGTATCATATCCTTTGAGTAACAGCTGTGGCTGGGAAATACGATAGGCTGCCAAAGCCTACATGTCCTTAGGAGAAGTGTCAGCCTCAGGATACTCTGCAGGGATAGGACCTGATGGGCTGGGGTTAACATCTCTACTCAGATAGACCCCATTCTCACAGAGTGGCCACTTCAGGCCTCAAGCCAATTCCTCTCATACCAGGAGACATGATTCCAATAAGGGTTGTTGCCTGAGCTGAGGGCTGCCCAAGTTCTAATTACAGGTAATTCCTGAGACTGGCAGAGCCTGGGAAAATAAAGGGATTAGAGAGCAGATTTAGCCGGGCCCTGTAGAGTGCAGCAGGCTCCCCAGGGACAGATGGCCCTCCGGTCCCCACTGCTCCTTGCCTTTTGGAGGTGAATTATGGGCTGGGTGCCCCTTTCTGGAGTCTTGATTTCTGCCACACTGGTGACATGAGCTGAGGTGCTTCAGGAGTCATGGTTGTCTCAGTCCATATGACTCGTGGAGAAATAGAATGGAGAGGTTGGCAGACTTGGAAACTCCTTATTCTACCTGGGTTGTGTTAGAGGTTGCTGGACCGGGCCTGGGGAGCTGGTATGGCAGAGCTCATAGGATGTAATTCCAGCAGGGACCTCCTGCATTTCCCAACTTGCGATTGGCCTGGCTTGTAACTTAAAGGAATGGAGTTCACTTGGGGTGTGTGCTGGCATTGGGATAATTGGGCCTGTGACATCCTGAGGAAGGCCAAGTTTACCCAGGGAGTTATACAAAGATAAACTCAGATAACCCGAATCAATATTTCCTCACAGGGACCCAGGATCCCCTACAGCTGTTTTCCTGATAACTCAGCAAATGCCCCACCCACCCTTTGCACCTCCCTTGTCCTCCCGCCCTCAGATGCCTGCTGGGCATATAAGTCCTGGACCCCTGCCCTGGGATGCTCTCCTGTGCCACCCTCCTGAGCCACCATGGGGCTGCCACTAGCTCGCCTGGTGGCTGCGTGCCTAGTCCTGGCCTTAGCCTGGGGCTCGGAGCTCCAGAAAGGTAAGGGGCTGGGTGATCGGGGCAAGGGGATAGGCAGATCGCCCTGAGGGTGGGAAGGCTTGGAAGTGAGGGGTGCCTGGAATAGGAGGGGTCCCCAGTCAGAGTCACTCTGGTTGGACTTGGGTCTTGGGTCTCCCACCATTACTCTGAAGTTGAACGCTCAGGGTGCACCAGGTGGATGAGAAGCTGGAATCCCACTGTTTGTGGGAATGGGGGGAAGCATTGGATATCTAGGAGAAGTCAAGTTTAGGACAGTTCCAGATATAAAGGACCTTCAGCAAGACCATGCCTCTGGAGAATGGGCTGTATCCACATGGAAAACTTCTGTTCCATCAGGACAAAGCTATGGGTGGGAGATATCCAAGTGAGGACTCCTGAAGACTGAGGGACCCAGCCCAACCTCTTGCTGGGTGAGGGGTGGACAGAGGGGGCCTAAATGGAGCATCGGTTGAGGGGGTTGGGCAGTGGCAAGTAGGTGTACGTTGGCCAGGTAGACAGAGTGACCAGATTGCCCAAAGGTCCCTCTGCCTTTACTCCCTGCTTTCACTCCACGCTAGCTAGCACCCTGTCTGAGAGTCTCTTCAGAAGGGTCACCAATATTTAGCAGAGACTGCTTATGCAGGGGACATCATCTTGGTCAGAAACCCTGGTCTGGAGCTCCAGATGGGTACCCCTGGAGGGACCTCTGGGGTTGACTTGGAGAATGGGCTTAGGGGAACCCTCCTGGGTCCTGGGTGTCTCACCTTGTATTCCCACTGCTATCCCAGAAGCCAGATCCCGAAACCATGTCTGCAGCACCTGGGGCGACTTCCACTACAAAACCTTTGATGGCGATGTCTTCCGATTCCCTGGCCTTTGCGATTACAACTTTGCTTCTGACTGCCGAGACTCCTACAAGGAATTTGCTGTGCACCTGAAGCGGGGCTTGGGCCAATCTGGGGGTCACCCCCAGATAGAGTCCATCCTGATTACCATTAAGGATGACATCATCTACCTCACCCACAAGCTGGCAGTGGTGAATGGGGCCATGTGAGTGGAATTAGTATATGTCTCCCATGTCCCAGCAGCCAGGGGATGCTTCTGGCTCCTCGGAGCAAGTTCACCCCTGAACATTTTGTATAAACTAGCCAGGCTCCAGGATACCCTTTTCTGCTCTGCACATGGCTCATAGGAGTGCTGTGAGGTTTGGGCCCCCTCTGTAGACCAGGGTCTTAGGTGACATGCGAATCCCTTACAGACTTCCCCTGGGGGCCATGTGGGAAGGAATGGTGGCTGCCAGAGACTGTCCCCCAGGCTAAAGTTGCAGAAGCTCTGAAGGGAGAGGCTGCTTGCCCAGCCCTATTGTTTCCTGGCATTGTCTGTAACAATGAGGTCCTCTTGAATGCATTCCTGTCTTGCAGGTTCACCCTGGGGATTTGCTCTTTTCCTGCTACAGGGCTTTCTGTCCTGCATGGGGCTCTGCCAGTGTTCCCTTTTTTGCCTGGTCTGCTGGACCACGCTGTCATGTGTGGGTTGGGTATGAGCTCAGGGGCTGGGGTGTGGCAGTTCCAGGCCAACACAGGAGTGGGATGATGGGGTCCTGGCATAAAGAGAGCTCTGGATAATGGTCTGGGCAGGGGTTAAGAGTCCCACCTGGCAGATTTTGTGAGCAAATACCTCTGAACAAAGGGCTTGGAGAGGGTTGGGATTGAGTTCTCAACATATTCCAGCCATTAGGGCTCCTGAGAAGGGCCTCTCTCTGTCTTTGACTCAGAGAGGGCATGGGAAGGCAAATAGACTGCAGGGCCTGACCCTACCTCAGGAAATCCACCTAGCTCAGGACAAGGGTTCTCTGGCCATTGCCAAGACTTCTGTCCAGCTCTCTGGCCTCCTCCTGGAGCTTGACTAAGTCTGTGGCCCCAGGTGAGAACACACTGACCACGTAAGGAGCTGTCTTCACCCAGATAATGCCTTCAGCACCATATGCACAGCAGAACCCTCAGGAGGATGAGTGGGTGGGTTCTGGGATGGTGGGTTGGTGAGTGACCCCATAGTGGTCCCCACAGGGTCAGCACCCCACACTACAGCTCCGGGCTCCTCATTGAGAAGAACGACGCCTACACCAAGGTCTACTCCCGTGCCGGCCTCTCCCTCATGTGGAACCGGGAAGATGCTCTCATGGTGGGCAACAGTATCCTGGGCTCTGAGGTGGTGGGGTTCCTCTATCTGACCAGATGTCTGGTGGCTCCATAGAAGGGCAGGCTTGGGGGACCCACACCTCACAACTGGAGTAGGATCCTATGTGGTGGAGCAGGCTGCAGGAGACAGTGATTGGTACTAGGGTCCCCATTGATCTAGCCTGGGAGGGGCTCCCTATGCTATAGGTGCAGTGAATGGTCTCCAACTGTCTCTTAGAGACTGCATTTTGGCATGGCACCCTGAAGGACCCTTCCTGGTGGCTGATCCCTGCCCTCCTCCTGCCCTTCCCTGTTGAGAAGCTGTCTAGACCTAGGGGCTCTGGAAGCTGTGCTGGGCCCCGAGGTCTACTCACCTGCCCTCCCTTCCCCTTTAACAGCTAGAACTGGACAGCCGGTTCCAGAACCACACCTGTGGTCTCTGCGGGGACTTCAATGGCATGCAGACCTATTATGAGTTCCTCAGTGAAGGTGAGTGCTAAGCTGGGCTTGTTGAGAGGAAGACAGGGATGGGGTTGCAGGCTCCCCCAAGGACCACTGCTGACCAGATGCATCCCTAGGCATGCACTACAGTGCCATTGAGTTTGGGAACATGCAGAAGATCAACAAGCCTGAGGCTGAATGTGAGGACCCCGAGGTGGTGCAAGAGCCAGAGTCCTGCTCTGAGCACGTGAGTCACTGCTGGGGTCCCTGGCTCTCGGGAACCTGTGCTTGCTGGCCTTTGCTGGGGATCCCTATGCTCTAAGGGGAGGGGAGAAGGGGTGTGAACAGGGGTGTGAATCTGTCCGAATTCATGTCTGTCTCTTCAGCGAGCCGAGTGTGAGAGGCTGCTGACCTCCACAGCCTTCGAGGACTGCCAGGCCCGGGTGCCCGTGGAGTTGTATGTGCGTGCCTGCATGCAGGACCGCTGCAACTGTCCTCAGGGTGTTGCCTGCGAGTGCAGCACCCTTGCTGAGTTCTCCCGCCAGTGTTCCCATGCAGGCGGCCGCCCCGAGAACTGGAGGAGTGCCTCACTCTGCCGTGAGTAGCTGGTGACCCATGGGATGTTTGGGGGCCACTCACATCATAGTCAGTGTGAGTGTCCATGGGTTTAAGGAGCCCCTGGTGGGATCCATTCTGTGCCAAGCACCCAGACACTATCTGCCAGTGGCCTTGGCACTCTGTTAGCTCCTTATTTGTGGACTGATGGTGCTGACTTTGCTTCTAGCCAAGAAATGCCCTGGTAACATGGTATACCTGGAGAGCAGCTCTCCCTGTGTGGATACTTGCTCACATCTGGAGGTCAGCAGCTTGTGTGAAGAACATTACATGGATGGCTGTTTCTGCCCAGAAGGTACATGCTCTGGAAGACCCTTGTCCCGGAGAATGAGCCGGCAGGGAGGGGTATCCTATTAAGAACCCTAAGGGCTGGGAGATGAGCCTCTCCATCGACAGAGCAGGTGTCCAGATGCCCGTGGGTGGAAGTCTGGCTGGCAGCCTCTCCTTGGGGGGATACTGGCACTTCCTGAGGCTTCCAGGGTAAGTTTACATCTCTGGCTACAACAGGCACTGTATATGATGACATCACGGACAGTGGCTGCGTCCCTGTGAGCCAGTGCCACTGCAAGCTGCATGGGCATCTCTATATGCCAGGCCAGGAGATCACCAATGACTGTGAGCAGTGGTAAGTCTCAGGGCACAGAGCTTGGGAATCAGGCAGGCTGGGGTGTCACTGAGTCTTGACCCTGTGTCCTGCTTCCGGGCAGTGTCTGCAATGCGGGTCGCTGGGTGTGTAAAGACCTGCCCTGCCCTGAGACCTGTGCCCTGGAAGGTGGCTCCCACATCACCACCTTCGATGGAAAAAAGTTTACCTTTCATGGAGACTGCTACTATGTCCTGACCAAGGTAGGCAGACCAGGCTACCTGGATGGATGGGAGCCCTCTGTCTTCTGGGGAGGGCAGAAAGACTGGATCTGGAGAAGGCTGTCCCTGGGGTGGTGGGTGGTGCTGCTCTTAGAAACAGGATGAAAAGTGGGGGGTCTAGGGTGTAGGAGGTTGTCGGATCCTCAGTAACTGTACCACTCTTCCCCATACAGGGTGAACACAATGACTCCTATGCCCTCCTGGGTGAGCTGGCCCCCTGCGGCTCTACAGACAAGCAGACCTGCCTGAAGACTGTAGTGCTGTTGACTGACAACAAGAAGAATGTAAGTGCTCCCTGCTCCCCCTGTCCAGCACGCCTGGGTCCTGTATGCAGTCACCTCACCTCTAAGCACCCCTGGCCTTTCTTGCAGGTGGTGGTCTTCAAATCAGGTGGCAGTGTGTTACTCAATGAGCTGGAGGTGACCCTGCCCCATGTGGCAGGTGAGTGGCTCAGGGAGGGATCCTGAGCTGCTGTCAGTCAACAGAGTCAGCTGGGCCTCAGACAGCCTAGGAGGCTGGGCCTCAGGCAGGCTTTGTCCTTGGGTCCCTGCTGGTGGTAGGGGATGGGATGGTGGGCATACCACCAGAGAGTAAGGTAGAACCCAGGAGGCCTCTGTCTTTCACTGTGTTCTTGTCTTGCAGCGAGCTTCTCCATCTTCCAACCCTCCTCCTACCACATTATTGTGAACACGGTGTTTGGGCTGCGGCTACAGGTTCAGTTGGTCCCAGTCATGCAACTTTTTGTGACTCTGGACCAGGCTGCCCAGGGACAGGTGCAGGGTGAGTGGTCCCTTCTGTCTTATCTCTGAAAAAGTCCTGTGAGGGCCCTTCCCCCACCCCTAATTCTTCCTAATCCTGTCCTGGCCCTTTAGGTCTCTGTGGGAACTTCAATGGCCTGGAAAGTGATGACTTCATGACATCTGGTGGGCTGGTGGAGGCCACAGGTGCCGGCTTTGCCAATACCTGGAAGGCACAATCAAGCTGCCATGACAAGCTAGACTGGCTCGATGACCCCTGTTCCCTCAACATTGAGAGTGGTAAGGCTCAGGGGAAGCTGGTTGCTGTCCACTGGCTTGTCTAGGACACAGAGTCCTGGCCAGTGCTGCCTCTGAGCAGATGGGGCTTCTGATGGGGACATAGATTGTGGGTGGAGGGGTGGGTGGAGGTCACATGGTCCATGGTGCTGGGAAGCAGCACATCCACCTGCTGTTCAGCTAGTTTAGAGTGGCCCCATGGTGGCAGCTTTCCAAGTGGCAAAGTAGATGGGCTGGTCAGGTTTAACTGCTGGGTAGTGGCTGTCATCCAGGCCTGACCTAATGCTAGGACAACATGCCCTCCTACCCACTTCTCAATCATATTTGAAGATTTCTAGCCCCCTGGGGTTGAGAAAGGGAGGAGGTGGGTGTTATGTAAAATGGTCTCATTTTGCTCATAGCTGCCTGGAGTTATGGGAGGGAGGAAGGGATCTGGCTTTAGTCACACAGGAGACTGTGTCACCTCCATCCTGGGTGATCAGACTTTTAGGCTCAGGGTATGTGAAGGGACCCTGGCCATGCTAAGGTTCTGACCCACTCCCCAGCCAATTATGCTGAGCACTGGTGTTCCCTACTGAAGAGGTCGGAGACTCCTTTTGCCAGGTGCCACCTGGCTGTGGATCCCACTGAATACTACAAGGTGAGTTCATCCCCCAACCCTGCACACTCAGTGTTACATGCAGTGTCCTCAGAGCCAGCAAAATGTGCTCGGGCCACCTGGCTGAGCCTGGGAGTGGTTGGGTATGTGTGTGTGCCTGAGTGCTGCCATGGGTGCTCACGAGTGTTTACTAGAGTGACGGGGTGCTGGGGCCATGAGCCTGGTTTCCACGCCTCACAGTTCCTTTGGTGTGCCTCCTAGAGATGCAAATATGACACGTGCAACTGTCAGAACAACGAGGACTGCATGTGTGCGGCTCTGTCTTCCTATGCCCGTGCCTGCGCTGCCAAGGGTGTCATGCTGTGGGGCTGGCGAGAGAGGGTCTGCAGTGAGTGCTTCCCCACTGGCTGCTTCCTAGGATGCTGATCCAGACACAGGACTCCATGGGCTGGGGGCTGGGAGCCCTGGGCACAATCAGTCCAGGAGAGGGGCCGAGTCCTTGTAGCTGCCTCCCAGCTTCTGCCAGAAGCAGCAGATTTACCTGACCTTTAGGCTCCGCTTGCAGCATGGAGCAGAATTCTGCAGAGATGGGCTATGGGATGGCCACAGCTGTGGCAGCTGAGTTCAGGAGCCTGGGAGGGGTTCCCAGTGTGGCTGCCCTCTGTCTGTAGCCCTGGTGGAGGGAGAAGCTCAGGGACAGCCTATAGGGACGGTAGCTGGAGTCCAGTGCCATTGCCCCTTATTCCCGTGGTTTCCTCTGCAGACAAAGACGTGCACGCGTGCCCCAGCTCACAGATCTTCCTGTACAACCTGACCACTTGCCAGCAGACCTGCCGCTCACTCTCAGAGGGTGACACCCACTGCCTGAAGGGATTTGCACCTGTGGAAGGCTGTGGCTGCCCTGATAATACCTTCATGGATGAGAAGGGCCGCTGTGTGCCCTTGGCGAAGTGCTCCTGCTACCACCATGGTCTTTACCTGGAGGCAGGAGATGTGATCCTGAGGCAAGAGGGGCGCTGGTGAGTGTTCTGGACTCATCCAGGGCCCCTCAGAGCATGAGGGGGGCTGCTCTTGAATCTCTACCCCAAGTGAAAAAATGGGAGGCTCTACCCATGGGACCTGAGGCTCTCAAATGGTGCAGGGGTGCCAGGGGCGAGATTCTGAGAGTTGCCTGGGTGGCATATGTCCTGTGCGGGGACAGACCTGGGCCCCACTCATCCCGTCCCGCTTCTCTCTCATAGCATTTGTCGGAACGGGAGGCTTCAGTGCACCCAGGTCAAACTGATTGGCCACAGTAAGTTTTACGGAGGCTGCCCATGTGTGGCCACCAGTCTGAGTCTTGTTCCCTCCCTACTTACCTGGTACCCTGAATTCATCTTGAGCTAAGACAGACTTCTTGACCCCACAGGCTGTAATGCCTCCAAAATCCTTGTGGATTGCAACAACTTGACTGCTCTGGCCACCCGGAAACCCCGCGCCACTAGCTGCCAGACAATGGTGGCTGGCTATGTGAGTGCCAGAGAGGGCTGCTGTGGGTGGGCTGGTTGGGAACATTCTGGATGCCTGAGTCCACTGTGTGGGCTAGGCAGAATCCCACACTGCCAACTCATTGGGCTTACAAACAGCTGAATTTATTGAAACTCCCTGTGATCCTGTGACCTTGAGCAGTGCAGAGGTCAGCCTAGGGATCTTGACCAGCAACCGTACCTGGTCTCCCTGACTAGGATGAGCTTGAAGGGAGGGGTTTTTGGAGACAGGAGAAGAAGCTGGGGGTTCAGGATACTTAGATCTTCTCATGTGGACACTTGACCCCTCAAGGAGGGCTTGGTCCTCATCTGGGCCCTTCTTATTCCAGTACCATACAGAGTGTATCAGCGGCTGTGTGTGTCCTGATGAGCTGCTGGATGATGGCCGTGGTGGCTGTGTGAAGGAGGAGGAGTGTCCCTGCATCCACAACAAAGACCTATACAATCCTGGTGGCACGATTAAACTGGACTGTAACAACACCTGGTGAGCTGGCCCAGTCAGGCTGCATTGGAGGGAATGGCTGGTTTTGTGGGGGTACAAGAAGGTCCCCACTCTGTTGACAGAGCGAGTCTTGTGTCTACCCCTTGCCCTAGAGGTCACTCTTAGGCCAGTATAGGTGCTTGCAGGTTTCCTATATGGACCGCCTCAGGAGCTATTGCCATGGTGTCCGGGGCCTTACCTAAGCTGCTCTCCGAGGGCAGGTGGGAGTCTTGGCCTCAGGCCCCTTCAGGCTCCTCTACCTTTCTCCATAGTACTTGCCAGAAGGGACGCTGGGAGTGCACCCGGTATGCCTGCCACAGCACCTGCTCCATCTATGGGAGTGGCCACTACATCACCTTCGATGGGAAACACTATGACTTTGATGGGCACTGCTCCTATGTGGCTGTCCAGGTGCGATTGTGAACCTCTCCAGGAAGGCGACTGCCCTGAGATGTGGGAGACGGCCCTTGGGGTGGGAGGGCTAGCTCTTCTTCACCCTGGAACCTATACTGACAGGATTTGGGCTCCCAGCGAGTAGAAAGGGTGTGGTAAACCCCTCCCTCTCTCCTTCCCTACCTCCTACTCTCTCTCCCTCCTTCCCTCTCTCCCTCCCTTCTTTCCTCCCTCCCTCTCTTTCTCCCTCCCCCTCCCTCCTTTCCTCCCTCTCTCCACCCCCTTCTGTGTGTGTGTGTGTGTGTGTGTGTGTGTGTGTGTGTGTATGTGTGACAAGCCCAACTACTAGCTCTTCTGTCCTTTGTATGGGCTCATCATCCCCAGACAACAGAAGATCTGGCTGGGTGAAGTTTGAGTTAGGGCCTTGACTCCCAGATGGGAAAAGGCAGAACATTTTCTACTCAGAAGTGGCTTTATCCTTGCCAGCTGGGGTAGGCACCTGTGTCCTGGCTTTCTTGGTTGATACTGTCTTGTCGGCCCCCAGGACTACTGTGGCCAGAACTCTACCGGTTCCTTCAGCATTATCACTGAGAATGTCCCCTGCGGCACCACAGGTGTCACCTGCTCCAAGGCCATAAAGATCTTTATAGGGGTGAGTGCTGCTGGTTTTTGGGACAGGGGATCCCTTGAGAGCCCTTGGACATGGTCAGTGACCATCCTTCTCTCTGGCTAGGGAACAGAGCTGAAGTTGGTGGATAAACACCGCGTGGTAAGGCAGTTGGAGGAGGGGCACCATGTGCCCTACATCACACGGGAAGTGGGCCTGTACCTGGTGGTGGAGGTCAGCTCTGGTATTATCGTCATCTGGGACAAGAGGACCACCATCTTCATCAAGTTGGCTCCTTCTTACAAGGTGAGCCACCAAGATGCCAGCCATGTCCTGGGCTGCCCCCAGCACAGACCCTGTGGATGCTGCTGTCACCTACCCTAAGACCATCTCAAGCTGGAGACTCTTGTCTTTCCTCCTGCAGGGCACTGTCTGTGGTCTGTGTGGGAACTTTGACGACCAGACCAAAAATGACTTCACCACTCGGGACCACATGGTGGTGACCAGCGAGCTGGACTTTGGGAATAGCTGGAAGGAAGCTTCCACGTGCCCAAATGTGAATCACACCCCAGACCCCTGCAGCCTGAACCCACATCGTCGCTCCTGGGCAGAGAAGCAATGCAGTATCATCAAGAGTGGTGTATTCAAAGGGTGTCATAGCAAGGTAGGTGGGGCTGCAGGCAGGTGGGTCACAGGAAGGTAGGCGTGGCTGAAGGCATGGGAGGGCCACAAATGCAGGCAGGGCCACAGATGTGTGTGGACTGTGGGCACAGACAGAGGGCTCTGCAGGTGGATTCTCACTATAAGTGTATTGTGGTTGTGGTCAGGGCCATGGTTGGGGCCACTGAAACAGATTGGTGAGCATGACTGTGGCCATGAGAGGGATATGGCCTGCTAGTCTTTCTATGTTTTTCAGGCTCCTGGCTTCTCCAAGTAGGCTAAGGATACTTGGAGGCATGTACCACCATGGGGTGTTTGTTCTTCAATCCTATACACTTGGTTCTTTGAGTACGAATTTAGATGATAACCTTTCTCTCTGAGATTCCTGGGTAGACTCTGGCCTCCTTTGCCCTAATTACATACTCATCAGGGAGGGAGAGAAATGACATTTTGTTAGATCCTAGAAGATAGCAGGGGGAGGGCCAGTTTTAGGGTTCTCATCTTGAGTTACTCAGGGGATGGGTGACAGATCTGTTGGCCAGGGTGGCCTGAATGTGAGTGCCCCCCTCCATCAGCTACTCTGAGGCCCTGGGCCAGCTTCAGTGTCCTGAGTCCCAGGCCCTCTAAGGGCAGTGTGGGCTTTGGGCACATTGATGTCTTCTTTCTAGGTGGACCCGACAGTCTTCTATGAGGCCTGTGTGCATGACTCTTGCTCTTGTGACACGGGTGGTGACTGTGAGTGTTTCTGCTCTGCTGTGGCCTCCTATGCTCAGGAGTGCACCAAGGCAGAGGCTTGTGTGTTCTGGAGGACGCCGGACCTATGCCGTGAGTACCGTGGCAGACAGCATCTTCCTTCCCCATCAAAGTGATGACTGAATGTCACCCATCCCATACTTGTCCTCAGGCATCCTTTCTTGGGGCATCATGAGACTTGTGTTGGTAGGAAATGGCTGGAACTGTTTGTGCTCACATCCCCTGATGCAGGCTTACTTGGGTACCCACTTGATGCTCCCGAGTCTGACCATGTCTCCATCCTCTCTCCCTCTAGCTGTATTCTGTGATTACTACAACCCCCCCAACGAGTGTGAATGGCACTATGAACCATGTGGGAACCGCAGCTTTGAGACCTGCAGGACCATCAATGGCATCCACTCCAACATCTCTGTGTCCCATCTGGAGGGTGAGCAGTCATGGCCCTTCAGGGAGGTAGCTGCTAAGGGGAAGTCCCCTGTCAGGCTGAGGGATACCATTAGCTGGAGATACACAGGATGTTAGAGAGGTGCCCAAGGGCTAAGACACTTGGCTCAGGGAACAAGGTTCATTTCACTATAGTCTGCTCACTGAACTGGGACCATGGAACCCAGTTAAGGCCCTGCCTCCCAAAGAGGTGACAAAGGAGCATGCTAACTCATGGGTGGGAACCACTGGGGTGTGTGCAGAGCAGAACGCCCGAGTGGCAGGGGAGACACAAACCTTGTCTTCTGACTCTTGGTCTTCGTAGATGAACATCTCTAAGCAAAACACCAGATCGGGTGGGGCTGATGAGGAAGGTCTGGTGGATCAGGGGGTCCTCCATGGTGGTCTAAACTCTACTTCCTATACCCATTAGGTTGCTACCCTCGGTGCCCTAACGACAGGCCCATCTATGATGAGGACAAGAAGAGATGTGTCACTGAGGACATGTGTGGCTGCTATATTGAGGGCATTCACTACCCAGTCAATTCATCTGTTCCCACTGAGGATATCTGCACGACTTGGTACTGAGCCTACATTGCATGGGGTATAGGAAAGGCTGGCACACACACACACACACACACACACACACACACACACCCCATGTTCATACACATGGGAATGTGGTCACTCTGGTCAGGTGCATATGCTCATGCAAGCACACATACATGGCTCATAATCACACTCACATGCATGCACAGCCCATTCAATGTGCATACATACATGGACACAGTCTCACACAGTTGCACTCCCAGTCACATATGTACACATATGGTCATGGGAGCTAGGGTACAGAGGTGCTAGCTCCTGTCTTTTAGGGTATGAAGGCCGTTTCACCTCACCCCATGCTCTTGGCCCAGCTTTTTCTTAGTTTGCTTCACCTCATCTGACTGGTCACGTTTAGAACCCAATGGATGGGGTTCCTCTGTAGCTCGTGTTTGGGGCACTACTCTGGGGCTTTGGGCCCAAGCACAGGGAGATGGGCATGTGGTGTCTATGAGGAGGGAGGGTATGGGGAGGACCTGCAGCATCTATACTTTCCTTTCAGTATATGCACCAGCACCTCAGAAATCACCTGCCAGCCGGATAAAGGTAAGCTGCTCTCTGCTGGGATCCTGGAGGTAGAGGGTTAGAGGTCCCAACCTGGGAAGCCTATGGGCTGTGCTGTTCTTGTACCCAAGGGACCTGGCCTTGGGTAGAGGTTGATTTCTTCCTGGACTCTGTTTTTTTGTTGCCCAGGTCCTTTCCAGATCCAACTTGCTGAGCTGTGCAGCAAGCCTGAGGGAACCACACTACACATCTTTGTTCCCTTTCTCCAATGGGAGTGGTACCCTATGGGGAATTTCTAGTGCATCTTTCATCTGGGTTCTAGGAGGTTCTGGGAATGCAGTCCTGCCTGAATGTATCCCACTCTTCCTGCAAATGTGATAAATTGGGGAAGCCTTGAAAGTCAGTCTGTCCCCTTGGGTTGATGGTCTCATACTCTGTGTGCAGGGAAGATTATTAACCAGACCCAGGATGGTGTCTTCTGCTACTGGGAGTTCTGCGGCCCCAACGGGACAGTGGAGAAACACTTCAATATTTGCGGCTCCTCCACGCCACCCCCATCCACCCTGACAAGCTTCACCACAGTCTCCACCACCACCCCCATCTCCACCACCACCACCACAACAACCACTGCCACTACCACCACCACAGCCACGATGACCACCACTGAAGGTGAGGTTTATTCTTGGAGCTTTTGTCTTTTTGAGAATCCAGCATGAATTCTTTTTCTTCTGAGGGCCAGAGCCAGGTCTGTGTATTTAGCCTCTGTTCATCAAGTCAACTGAGAGTTTAGGTGGCATTGACATTTCTCTGAACTCAGGAGACAGTGGAGGATGTCCTTACATTCTTCTAATTTTGTTCCAGTTCAAACATATCTATGGTGAGTGAACTGTCAGGGGTATGACAGACATGGGGAAGAACACCTATAATTTTGGGCTGGACTTAGGGATCAGTTGGCAAAGCACTTGCTTCACAAGCATGAGGACCTGAGTTTGAACCCCAGGCATAGGGGTACACTTTTGTAATCCCACTCTTTTTTTTTTTTGGTTTTTCTGAGACAGGTTTCTCTGTGGCTTTGGAGGCTGTCCTGGAACTCTCTCTGTAGACCAGACTGGCCTCGAACTCACAGAGATCCGCCTGTCTCTGCCTCCCGAGTGCTGGGATTAAAGGTGTAAGCCACAAACGCCCAGCTGTAATCCCACTCTTGCTCACTGGCAAGACAGTACAACTTCATTGGCAAGTTCCAGGTGAATGGGAGACCTCGTCTGAAAGGAAGTAGATGGCAATTCTTGAGAAAGACACTGGAGATTGTCTTCTGTTCTCTACACTCACATACAGACATGTCCATGCATATATGCAAACACATGTATACACACAAACATGCACACACATACAATGCAGGCAGAGTAGGTGGTGCACACTTAACAACCAGCACTTGGGAGGATGATCGCCACAAGTTTGAGGCCTACAGTCTATGTAGAGAGTCCAGGCTGTCTAGGGCTGTGTAGCAAGACCATGCTTAAAACAAAAGACTTAAACTGTGAAGTAATATCCTTCTTTTTTCCTTGATTGATGTTCCATCAACAGCTCCTAATAAGTGACATTGACAATACTTTCCCATGATAAGTAGGGCCGAGAAGAGAAAAACTTTCTAAGTCCCTCCTGGTTTCCTTCAGAAGCAGAAGTGAGGGCAGGCTGCACTTATCTGCTTGTGGGCCACAGATGTATTTATTCACTGTTTGACAAGTCCATGGACAGAAAGGTGGGATCTGACCTGTGTGGATGACCTCATCTTGATCAGGAATAGACAAAGCCCCTTTCACACTCTTTCTTAGGGATGGGTCTCTTATTAGTCTTTTTTCACATATATTGCCAAGAAAGGGTTACTGAGCTGGAACTCTAAGACCAGGATATATTCCAATTAGACATGGCCTTGGGTAGCCCCTTCTCTCTGGGCCATAGTCTTTCAGCTGCAAAAATAGGTCTATTTTGAACTCTGGCTCTATAAACCTGGTCCCTTGGTGATGATGGGGAGGGCAAGTGTATCTGTGGGGTGGCTGCAGAGGTCACTGGGGACTTTGAATCATCATAGCCTCTCTCAAGAATTAATGACCTATATGTAATTTTACTTCCCTAGGACCATGCTGCTTCTGGTCTGATTGGATCAACAATAACCATCCTAGTATTGGCAGTGATGATGGTGACAGAGAGACCTTTGACAGCATCTGCAGTGCTCCTGTGGACATTGAGTGCAGGTCAGCCACAGAACCCAATCTCAGCTGGGAGGAGCTGGACCAGAAGGTACAGTGTAATGTCTCAGCTGGGCTTGTTTGCAATAACTCAGACCAGTATCAGCATGGAAATGGAGTATTTGAACGTTGTTATGACTATGAGATACGAGTCAACTGTTGCTTCCCAATGGAATACTGTACTACTCCAACCATCTTACCTACAACTTCACCAACGACCTCACCAACCACTTCACCAACAACTCCACCTACCTCTTCACCAACCACCTTACCTACAAGTTCCCCACTGACTTCATCTACAACTTCAACAACTCCACCTACCTCTTCACCACCAACTCCACCTACCTCTTCACCAACCACCTTACCTACAAGTTCCCCACTGACTTCATCTACAACTTCAACAACTCCACCTACCTCTTCACCACCAACTCCACCTACCTCTTCACCAACCACCTTACCTACAAGTTCCCCACTGACTTCATCTACAACTTCACCAACAACATCACCTACCACTTTGACAGTTTCACCATCTAGCTCAGTTTCCATATCACCAACAAGCTTGCCTACCACTACATTAACAATTTCACCAACCACTTCACTGACCACTACATCAACCACCTCATCGACCATTACTCCAAGCATTTCATTTACCACTTCACAAACATCTTCATCAACCACATCTCCTAACAGTTCACAAACCACCTCTGCTACAACTTCCCCAATTACTTCATCGGCATCCTCAACTGCCACATCACCAAGTACCTCAACTACCATAACAACAACTGTGTCTACCCTATCCACCACCACATTACCACCAACTACATGCACTAAATGCAAGTGGACTGGATGGCAAGATTCTGGCAAGCCCAACTTTGGTCCAGGAGGTGGAGATTTTGAAATGATTGGAGATGCCTGTGACCCAGGCTGGGTAGTGGATAACATCTCATGTAGAGCAGCAATGTTTGAAAACACACCACTTGATCAGCTAGGACAGAAAGTCACTTGTGACAAAAATGTTGGGCTGGTATGCAGAAATGAAGAACAGGAAATAGGAGGAAAGAACCCAATGCCCATATGTCTCAACTATGAGATCAATGTTTATTGTTGTAATCCAAAATGCTATCCAATTACGACGACTACACAAACTTCAACAACCACAAAGACAACTAGTCCAACACCTACTACAGTAACTCCAACCCCAGAGCCCTCAACCACACCATCTACCACCACACAGACAACTAGTCCAACAACTACCACTACAGTGACTCCAACACCAGTACCTTCAACCCCACCATCTACCACCACACAGTCAACTGTTCCAACACCTTCTACTACAGTAACTCCGACCCCAGTGCCTCCCACCACACCATCTACCACCACACAGACAACTAGGCCAACACCTTCTACTACAGTGACTCCGACCCCAGTGCGTACAACCACACCATCTACCACCACACAGTCAACTGTTCCAATACCTTCTACTACAGTAACTCCGACCCCAGTGCCTCCAACCACACCATCTACCACCACACAGTCAACTAGTCCAACACCTTCCACTACAGTGACTGCAACCCCAGTGCCTTCAACCACACCATCTACCACCACACAGTCAACTAGTCCAACACCTACCACTACAGTGACTGCAACACCAGAGACCTCAACCACACCATCTACCACCACACAGACAACTAGTCCAACACCTAATAATACAGTGACTACAACCCCAGAGCCTTCCACCACACCATCTACCACCACACAGTCACCTAGTCCAACACCTACCACTACAGTGACTGCAACCCCAGTGTCTTCAACCACACCATCTACCACCACACAGACAACTAGCCCAACACCTACCACTACAGTGACTCCAACCCCAGAGCCTTCAACCCCACCATCTACCACCACACAGACAACTAGCCAAACACCTACCACTACAGTGACTCCAACCCCAGAGCCTTCAACCCCACCATCTACCACCACACAGTCAACTAGTCCAACACCTACCACTACAGTGACTACAACCCCAGAGCCTTCAACCCCACCATCTACCACCACACAGACAACTAGTCCAACACCTACCACTACAGCGACTGCAACCCCAGAGACCTCAACCACACCATCTACCACCACACGGACAACTAGTCCAACACCTACCACTACAGTGACTCCAACACCAGAGCCTTCAACCCCACCATCTACCACCACACAGACAACTAGTCCAACACCTACCACTACAGTGACTCCAACCCCAGAGACCTCAACCACACCATCTACCACCACACAGACAACTAGTCCAACACCTACCACTACAGTGACTACAACCCCAGAGCCTTCAACCCCACCATCTACCACCACACAGTCAACTAGCCCAACAGCTACCACTACAGTGACTACAACCCCAGAGCCTTCAACCCCACCATCTACCACCACACAGTCAACTAGTCCAACACCTACCACTACAGTGACTCCAACACCAGAGCCTTCAACCTCACCATTTACCACCACACAGTCAACTAGTCCAACACCTACCACTACAGTGACTCCAACCCCAGAGCCTTCAACCTCACCATCTACCACCACACAGTCAACTAGTCCAACACCTACCACTACAGTGACTCCAACCCCAGAGCCTTCAACCCCACCATCTACCACCACACAGTCAACTAGTCCAACACCTACCACTACAGTGACTCCAACACCAGAGCCTTCAACCTCACCATCTACCACCACACAGTCAACTAGTCCAACACCTACCACTACAGTGACTACAACCCCAGTGCCTTCAACCACAACATCTACCACTACACAGACAACTCGTCCAACACCTACCACTACAGTGACTCCAACCCCAGAGCCTTCAACCTCACCATCTACCACCACACAGTCAACTAGTCCAACACCTACCACTACAGTGACTCCAACCCCAGTACCTTCAACCACACCATCTACCACCACACAGACAACTAGTCCAACACCTACCACTACAGTCACTCCAACACCAGAGCCCTCAACCCCACCATCTACCACCACACAGTCAACTAGTCCAACACCTACCACTACAGTCACTCCAACACCAGAATCCTCAACCCCACCATCTACCACCACACAGACAACTAGTCCAACACCTACCACTACAGTGACTCCAACCCCAGAGACCTCAACTACACCATCTACCACCACACAGTCAACTAGTCCAACACCTACCACTACAGTGACTACAACCCCAGTGCCTTCAACCCCATCATCTACCACCACACAGTCAACTAGTCCAACACCTACCACTACAGTGACTACAACCCCCGTGCCTTCAACCCCACCATCGACCACTACACAGACAACTAGTCCAACACCTACCACTACAGTGACTGCAACCCCAGAGCCTTCAACCCCACCATCTACCACTACACAGACAACTAGTCCGACACCTACCACTACAGTGACTACAACCCCAGAGCCTTCAACCTCACCATCTACCACCACACAGTCAACTAGTCCAACACCTACCACTACAGTGACTACAACCCCAGTGCCTTCAACCCCACCATCTACCACTACACAGACAACTAGTCCAACACCTACCACTACAGTGACCTCAACTCCAGAGCCTTCAACCCCACCATCTACCACCACACAGTCAACTAGTCCAACACCTACCACTACAGTGACTACAACCCCAGTGCCTTCAACCCCACCATCTACCACTACACAGACAACTAGTCCAACACCTACCACTACAGTGACCCCAACTCCAGAGCCTTCAACCCCACCATCTACCACCACACAGTCAACTAGTCCAACACCTACCACTACAGTGACTACAACCCCAGTGCCTTCAACCCCACCATCTACCACTACACAGACAACTAGTCCAACACCTACCACTACAGTGACCCCAACTCCAGAGCCTTCAACCCCACCATCTACCACCACACAGTCAACTAGTCCAACACCTACCACTACAGTGACTCCAACCCCAGAGCCTTCAACCCCACCATCTACCACTACACAGACAACTAGTCCAACACCTACCACTACAGTGACTACAACCCCAGTGCCTTCAACCCCACCATCTACCACCACACAGTCAACTAGTCCAACACCTACCACTACAGTGACTACAACCCCAGTGCCTTCAACCCCACCATCTACCACCACACAGACAACTGGTCCAACACCTACCACTACAGTGACTACAACCCCAGTGACTTCAACCCCACCATCTACCACCACACAGACAACCAGTCGAACACCTACCACTATAGTGACTCCAAAACCAGAGACCTCAACCACACCATCTACCACCATACAGACAACTAGTCCAACACCTACCACTACAGTGACTCCAACCCCAGAGCCTTCAACCCCACCATCTACCACCACACAGACAACTAGTCCAACACCTACCACTACAGTGACTCCAAAACCAGAGACCTCAACCCCACCATCTACCACTACACAGACAACTAGTCCAACACCTACCACTACAGTGACTCTAACCCCAGTGCCTTCAACCCCACCATCTACCACCACACAGACAACTAGTCCAACACCTACCACTACAGTGACCCCAACACCAGAGCCTTCAACCCCACCATCTACCACCACACAGTCAACTAGTCCAACACCTACCTCTACAGTGACTACAACCCCAGTGCCTTCAACCCCACCATCTACCACCACACAGTCAACTAGTCCAACACCTACCACTACAGTGACTCCAACCCCAGAGCCTTCAACCCCACCATCTACCACCACACAGACAACTAGTCCAACACCTACCACTACAGTGACTGCAACTCCAGAGCCTTCAACCCCACCATCTACCACCACACAGTCAACTAGTCCAACACCTACCTCTACAGTGACTACAACCCCAGTGCCTTCAACCCCACCATCTACCACCACACAGTCAACTAGTCCGACACCTACCACTACAGTGACTCCAACCCCAGAGCCTTCAACCTCACCATCTACCACCACACAGTCAACTAGTCCAACACCTACCACTACAGTGACTACAACACCAGTGCCTTCAACCCCACCATCTACCACCACACAGACAACTAGTCCAACACCTACCACTACAGTGACTCCAACCCCAGAGCCTTCAACCCCACCATCTACCACCACACAGACAACTAGTCCAACACCTACCACTACAGTGACTACAACCCCAGAGCCTTCAACCCCACCATCTACCACTACACAGACAACTAGTCCAACACCTACCACTACAGTGACTCCAACCCCAGAGCCTTCAACCCCACCATCTACCACCACACAGACAACTAGTCCAACACCTACCACTACAGTGACTGCAACCCCAGTGCCTTCAACCCCACCATCTACTACTACACAGACAACTAGTCCAACACCTACCACTACAGTGACTACAACCCCAGTGCCTTCAACCCCACCATCTACCACTACACAGACAACTAGTCCAATACCTACCACTACAGTGACCCCAACTCCAGAGCCTTCAACCTCACCATCTACCACCACACAGTCAACTAGTCCAACACCTACCACTACAGTGACTACAACCCCAGTGCCTTCAACCCCACCATCTACCACTACACAGACAACTAGTCCAACACCTACCACTACAGTGACCCCAACTCCAGAGCCTTCAACCCCACCATCTACCACCACACAGTCAACTAGTCCAACACCTACCACTACAGTGACTCCAACCCCAGAGACCTCAACCACACCATCTACCACTACACAGACAACTAGTCCAACACCTACCACTACAGTGACTACAACCCCAGTGCCTTCAACCCCACCATCTACCACCACACAGTCAACTAGTCCAACACCTACCACTACAGTGACTACAACCCCAGTGCCTTCAACCCCACCATCTACCACCACACAGTCAACTAGTCCAACACCTACCACTACAGTGACTCCAACCCCAGAGCCTTCAACCTCACCATCTACCACCACACAGTCAACTAGTCCGACACCTACCACTACAGTGACTACAACCCCAGAGCCTTCAACCCCACCATCTACCACCACACAGTCAACTAGTCCAACACCTACCACTACAGTGACTACAACCCCAGTGCCTTCAACCCCACCATCTACCACTACACAGACAACTAGTCCAACACCTACCACTACAGTGACTCCAACCCCAGAGCCTTCAACCTCACCATCTACCACCACACAGTCAACTAGTCCAACACCTACCACTACAGTGACTACAACCCCACAGCCTTCAACCCCACCATCTACCACCACAGAGACAACTAGTCAAACACCTACCACTACAGTGACTACAACCCCAGTGCCTTCAACCCCACCATCTACCACCACACAGACAACTGTTCCAACCTCCTCTACTACAGTGACTCCAAAACCACCTACCACCACAGAGACCTCGACCTCAACATCTACTACCACAGGGACCATAACAACCACACCCTACACAGGCACCCCCACTCCAACATCTACGACCACACCGACAACCAGTCCAATCCCCACTGGTACAGTGCCCCCCTCTGCCACACCTACTGTCACGGAGATACCTACTCCAAGCTCTAGTATCACAACCATCTCACCCTCATCCTCTACTATTACTGCTACCACCATCACACATCACCCCACCACAACACCCACTGCCACAATCACAGAGACTCAGAGCCCATCTTCCACTACTTCCGGGACACCATTCCCAATCTCTACCTCTACTGAAAGCACAACCTCATCATCTCCTACTAGCCAAACCTCATCCCCCAAACCCACCACCACAACCAAAGAGACATCTACCCCTACATACACAGTCCCTACTACAGTTTCAACTTCTTCCAAACCTCCAACCAAGCCCTCCTCGCCTGTGACCTCTGTGTCTACTTTCCCTCCCACGGAGCCCATCATCTTTTCAAGTACCCCTGTAACTACAATAGCAACGTCTAGCACAGCATCATCACCTGGAACAATATCATCAGTGGGCACTACATCCTCTTCTCCAGGATCAACACCAGGACCTACCACAACTTCTGGTAAGCACTCATGTGAAGCCACCCTTATTCCTCTTCTCTTAGGAGAGCTTTGTTTTGCCAGGGAAGCCTTGTGACCTCAAGACCTGAGCCTGCAGTTAGCACTTTGTGCTTCATGGCTGTTCTTGTGCAGTGAGGCAAGTCCCATAGAAGGTCCGAGGCAGGCTAACCTTTTGTCTACTGAGTCAGAATCCTGAGAGTGATGAATTGTAAGGAAACAAAGGTCACTATCTTTCTGTAGATAGTTTTTCCTCAAGCAGAGCTACTTTAGCATAGACTTTGCAGCCCAACACTGATGGGACTCTGGGAAAATCTGTCCTAGGGAAGTCCTGGGCTGCATTGGGCCAGGGCTGGTGTAAGCCAGAGGGCCATTCCTGTGTCTGGGCTTGGCACAAGAGGTCTTGGAGAGTAGCTAGGTAGCTTGGAGGGCACTGTCTGATGTCCAGTGTTCAGTGTGACAATCACACAGCATGCATGGTGATGTCAAATCCTGGTGAGTGGATACAAGGCTTTGACACCTCATCATGGCTTCTTAAGCCAGCTGTTATGTCTATGTGGTTGGGCCTGCAGGTTGAGCTCTGCAGCATCTGGGATGAACAATGTTATAGGCCCACAATGTAACTGTTCTTACAGGCACACCAGGGCCAACTTTGTCCACCGTAAGACCACCCTCCACGCCCACCCCTACATCTCCCATTGTGCCAGTGTCTACCACAGAACCTGTTACCCAGACAAGTCTCTCGTCAACCACACCAACTACTTGGAAGACCACCAGGACCTCATCTTGGGGGACAGTCTCCTCAGTTTCCCCAATCACTTCTCCCAGCACCCACCTCAGTTGCTGCATTTTGGATGGCATTTACTATAACCCAGGTATCCAAAGTCTCATGTCTAACAGTCACAAAGCTCAGGCTGGTTCCTGCTCTTCCCAGTGGGTGGAATCAGGGTCAGATCCCAACTCAAAGCTTGCTCAGGAGGCTGGAGGCTGGTCATGGGTGTATGCTTTCATGGCCAACTTCACCTTGCTGGGAACATGAACCAGAGGCCAGGGCTCTTCCAAGCCTTGGAGAACAAGTAGAGGCGTGTCTTAGTCCATTTTCTGTTGTTGTAACAAAATACTCGAGGCCAGATGATTTATAAATGATAGAGGGTCATTCGGCTGACAGTTTGGAGTTAGGAAGTATAGGAACATGGCACTGGCACCTGATGAGTTCTTCATCCTGCATGAAAACATGGTGCAGGCATCAGGGGGTGAGATGGCACAAATGTCTCTTCTACTTCTTGTAATGTCTCTGATGGCATGCTAGGGGTTTACCCGCGTACTTCATCTAACCCTGCTCATCACTCATAAGCCCCTCCTCCATATAGTGGGTCCCTTCCATGGCCTTCATGGGGTCTATCAGTGTGTTCTAGTTGCCCGCTCTGCCTCTGAATGGTGTAAAGACTGCACCCTCTTCCCTCGTAGGTGAACTGATTTACAACAAAACCTTGGGGGACACCTGCTATTATGTGAACTGCTCTGTGGACTGCCAAGTCCAGTTCTTCAATTGGTCCTGCCCATCTACTCCCTCACCTTCTACACCTTCAACACCAACGTCCTCCCTGACGACCACACCCTCCACACCATCTACCACATCTCCAAAGTCTACACCCTCTACACCATCTACCACATCACCATCAACACACAGTACAACAGTCACAAACTCCAGCCGTGGTTGCCTCGACTTTGATCCTCCAAGACAGGTCAGTGGGCAGTACGTGGAGTATGTGGCTTTGTTACCCTGGCACTGAACAGGTCCTTGTCCAGGCACCCACCATCTGAATGGCACCCTTTCTGGTTGTCCAAGACACCCATACTCCCACACCCTCACCTTCCTCCTGTAGAGCTGATGCTTCACAAAACATTGTGGGTAAGGGTCTACTGGCCTTCTCTCTTTTCACCATATCCTGCCTTTCTTGTCCTTATCCTAGCCTCCCTCAGCTCCATCCTTGAGTGGGTCCTATCCTCCTGTGTAGACTGGGGAGGCTAAGCTGGGCTGCCTGCTGACTGTTCCACACCCTCTATCCTGCAGGTGAATGAGACCTGGTGGCTATGTAACTGTACCATGGCCATTTGCAACCATGACAACGTAGTGGAGATTGTAGAGCTGGAATGCAATCCCCCACCCATGCCCACCTGTTCCAATGGCCTCAAGCCCGTGCGTGTCGTTGACCCTAATGGCTGCTGCTGGCACTGGGAGTGTGACTGTAAGGCTCTTAGCTATCTGGGATGCTCCTGCCAGGGTCGTTTCTTCTTTGGTACTGGTGGCTTCAGGGCCAGCCTCCTGGGAACAGACCTTGATTGCTAAGTTTCTGCTGTAGGCTGTGCACACACAGACTTAGGGACTTCTCTATACTCCTTCTGTCTCCCTGGGTAGGAGGTTGGGTAGGTAGAAGCCTTGACTGGTAGGGAAGAGGCACCTTTCTGAGCAAGGATGTTTCTGAGGTTAGGAGTGACCTTCTGTCTCTAAAGCAAGGTCTCACCCTGCAGAATGGGGGGCATGTCTCTGGACCAACTGGAAAGATGCTTTTAGAAGATGTCCTCCAGCTTGGGTGCCCCTAGTGACCCAACCTAGGGACCAGGTTTTTTAGACTCTTTTAGTTACTGCTGCTTTTCCAGCCTATCCCTTGAATCCTAACCATGACTTGATCCAAGTGGTTCTGGCTTGGTGACATCAACTTACAGAGCGTCTTCCACAGGCTACTGCACTGGCTGGGGGGACCCGCACTATGTCACCTTTGATGGACTCTACTACAGTTACCAGGGTAACTGCACCTACGTGCTGATGGAGGAGATTATCCCCACAGTGGACAACTTTGGGGTCTACATTGACAACTACCATTGTGATGTCAATGACAAGGTGTCCTGCCCCCGCACGCTTATTGTGCGCCATGAGACCCAGGAAGTGCAGATCAAGACCACACAGTTGATGCCCATTGAGGTGCAGGTATGTGGCTGGGGCTGCCTGGGTATCCATAGTGTGTCTGTCGTGGCCTTATACTGTGAACCCAGGCAACAGAGGGTTAGGCTGCAGGACCATTGGACCAGGCTGGAGCCATGGCACACGTAGAGCCTTCTTAGGGTCATGCCAGCTCTTCTCACAGGCTCTTTGAGGATAAGTGACCATGTTGATCTGAGTCTTCCCTATCCTATGGGGTCATTGGTGATGTTGATTGAAACATCTGAGGAGCCCTGACCCTTTCATTGAGCTTCAAATTGTCTGAGAAGAGCCTTCTTTGGTTTCTCCTGGGACAAAGGTCTGTCCCAGGATGGGTGGAAAGGAAGTAAGAAGGAGGCGAGGGACAGGAAAAGTTCCCCTTTCAAATAGGGGTGGAGATACCCTCCCAGGTGCTATACCCAGGTGCAATTTGGCCTTCCTCATCAGCTATATGGCTTCCAGGGAGGACAATGCTGGGAGAGGACAGAGCAGGGCAAGCCTCTAGCAGGTGTCAGGCTGTTGCTCCTGTCCCAGAAGTCCTGCCTGACTCAGACATGTTGACTACAGGTGCAGGTGAACAAGCAGGTGGTGGCCCTGCCCTACAAGAAGTATGGGGTGCAGGTATACGAATCTGGCATCAACTTTGTGGTGGACATCCACAGGCTGGGTGCCCAGATCTCCTACAATGGCCTGTATTTCTCCATCCGGCTACCCTACCGCATATTTGGCAACAACACAAAGGGCCAGTGTGGTGAGTCCCCTAGCTGCTTTCCTTGGAGGGCAAGACTGGGCACGAGCCCCTGTCACCTCGCTGTGGGTTCTCTGTCCCTCTGTAGACAGGCCCTGTGGCATTGTCTTGTGTTTGGTCCCCGTGAGAAGCCAGCAGATGTTAGCTTGCCATTAGTTTTTCCCTCTTGCCTGACCAGCGGGATGCAGGGAGCCTGGACTGGAGAAGGCGAGGTGCCAGGGATTGACCTGAGTCTGATAGTGTGCTCTTGGTGCTGGCTTGATGGGTGGCTTCTCTGTACACAGGCACCTGTAACAACAATACTGCAGATGACTGCATCCTACCTAGTGGGGAGATCATCTCCGACTGTGAAGTTTCTGCTGACCAGTGGTTGGTGAATGACCCCTCCAAGCCACACTGTCCCCACAGTGGCTTCACCACCAAACGCCCAGCCACCACAACACCAGGGCTGGTGCCTAAGAACTGCACTGTGTCTCCCATCTGCCAGCTCATCATGGACAGGTGACCTGTGGAAAGTGGAGGAATGGAGGCAAGAAGGTCAGGACAAGCTTAGGCTTCTGAGATCCCGCCTCAAAAACTGCAGGCTCTCGAGGTGTCATCTCTCTGTTGTCCCTGCTGTCTACCAAGCAGGCAGAGCAGCGCCTGTGCGGGCCTGGAAGAGCTGAGGTTGCCACTGTGGATGGGTGTCAGGTCACAGGGGCCCCGGGACTTGGCTTTTGTTTTCCTAGGCACTAGCTGTTTTCACCCCAGCACCTTTCTTTGTTTTCAGATGTCTCTCACCTCCTGGCCAGGTGCAGGCTCAGCTGAACTACCGACCCTGAATAGATCAACTATTCATTAGCATATCAGGGAGGCAGGGTTGAGCTTGGACGCAGGTCAGGAACTCCTAAATCTGGTAGCCTTAGGACGTTCCCTGCCCCTAGAGGTGTTTGAAGTCAAAGCTAGGTGATCCTCTGCCATGATAGTTGGAAGGGGACATGCTGGCAACCAGTGCAGAATACATCTCTACATGCCTGATGACACAGGCACGTGCCCGCCCTTCCTAGAGACCAGTGGTTTCTGTCTTCTCTGATGTAGCCATAGTGCTTCTTTGGCAGGGGCCTCTGAGCAGGCTCCTGTAGGGCAGGGAAAGGCCGGGGGAGTGTGTGGAGGGGCTGGGTTACTGACCAGAGTGTGACCATCTCTCCCTGCACAGCCTGTTCTCCCAGTGTCACCCCTTCGTGCCTCCCAAGCACTACTATGAAGCCTGCCTATTTGATAGCTGCTTTGTGCCTGGCTCTGGTATGGAGTGTGCCAGTGTACAGGCCTACGCAGCCCTCTGTGCCAAGGAGGGTACCTGCATTGACTGGAGGAAACATACCCAGGGCGCCTGCTGTAAGTGCCTCTCATTCTCCCCATGTAATGCCCTATGCTGGGGATCTGTGGGTGAGAGGCAAGGGAACTGAGCAGCTCCCCATCCTCTGCTTGCATGGGGGTGAAGTCTTGGGTGGGAAGGGCTGGGTAGCTCTGTCACTGCAGGGAGGGACAGCCTTCTCTCTCTCTGGGTATGGCCTTCCTGATTCTTGTGTCCCCTCCTGCAGCTGTGGAGTGTCCGTCTCACAGGGAGTACCAGGCCTGTGGCCCTGCAGAAGAACCCACCTGCCAGTCCAGGTATGCTGCCTGAAGACTCCTGCTCGTTCCCTAGTCCTGTCCATGCCATCCAGCCAGCTTCAGCCCTGCTCCCAGAGCTGTGCCCCAACCCATGTCACTCCTTCCTTCTGAGCACATATCTTGCCATTCCAGCTCCTCTGGGAATTCCACACTCTTGGTGGAAGGCTGCTTCTGTCCTGAAGGCACCACAAAGTTTGCCCCTGGCTATGATGTCTGTGTGAAGACTTGTGGTATGTCTCCTGCCTCTACTGCCTCCCTCCTGTTTCCTTTGTCTACAGAGGCAGGGCCAGGAGGCACACCCCAGTTACCTATAATATCATGACAGTGTTATCAGAGTTTGTTTCCTCTCTTTTCCTAGGCTGTGTGGGACCAGACAATGTGCCCAGAGAGGTAGGTAACCCCTTGTGCTGGGATAATTCTCCCTAAAATCATGATCTTTGGGGAAGGAGTGAGGTGAAGTGATATGACAGTCTGGAGTCCCAAAGACTGAGTCATGAGCCATGAAAGTCCTGGGTGAGATCCGCTCACTCATCCATGTGCCCACTGGTGAATCTGTCCATCAGCCCATCACCTTGAGCTGTCTATCATCCATTTAACCCTCTGTTGTCATCCATTTATCCACCTGCCCATCTATCCACTAACCTATCCATTATCTAGCTGTTCAACCACCCATCAATCTATCCAATACCCATCCATAATCCATTAATCTATCCAAATTATCCTAGAACAAAATAAATAAAAGACCCAGAGACAGGTATTGGGGTTCAAGTTGATGATCAGAAAAACAAAGCAGCCAACCACTAGCTGTCACCTCTATAGCTCAGGCAGAAAGGGCTGATCCATGCACGAGCTCTTCACCAAGACTCAAACTGCTGCCTCTCCTCAGTGTGGCTGGAGAACGAATGCCTCCTACTGAATCCTGATACTGATTTATATACCTCTCATGAATCATGGGACTAAAGGTGTGAGCTATACTTCTCTTTTAAACTTATTCAGTCTTGAGTAAGCCTGGGTGGCCTTGAACTCAGAGAGAGCCATCCGCCTTTGTCTCCTGAGTCCTGGGATTAAAGGTGTGCCGCCACTATCTGACCTCTATATCTTGTGGCTGACTTTGCTTTTCTAATCCTCAGTCAAGCTTTAATAAATCATAAACCATATCACTACAATATCCATCTGTACATCCATTAGTCATCATGTAATCACCTATCCATTATTCATCTGTATTTCATCCCATCCATTATCCATTTGTCATCCATCCATCATCCACCTATCCATATTCATTAATCTATCCTTCATCCATCCTCCACTCATTCATTCATCATTCATCCACCTATTCCACACCCATTCATCTATCCAACCACCCATCCCTCTGAACCATTCATCCTCCACCTATCTGCTATCTGTTCATCCAACCACCATCTACCATCCGTATATTTTTCATTCATTCATCCATTTACCCACCCTCCATCTATCTACCATCTACCTATCCATCTATATATCCATTATCTACCAATTCAAAAACCTACCCGTTGCCCATCCATCCTTTACCTAAGCATCCACTCATCTATCATCTATCCACCCACCCACCCATCCAGCTACCCACACACTATTCATCCGTGCAACCAACCATCAATGCGTCTCCATCCATCCTTCTGTCTTTCCAATCATCTACTCATCCATTAAGCCATCCATTCATCTATCCACCCATCCGCTCGCCAGTCATATACTCTGACTAAATGTGGGATGGCACATTGACCGCTTCAGTGTTGTTTCCTGTGTGTGTTCACAGTCACTGGATGACTTTTTAGCTCAATTAAAAAAATTAATAGACAGAGTGTGGTGTGTCTGTTGCATACCAGGAGGATGTTGGTAGGTGTTGATGAGCAAGTCACATCTGTGTGATATCTGTGACCTTGAATGAACAAGTGCTAGCCCATCCCTGAACCTTCCCTATGGGTTCAGAGGTGATGAGTGATAAAGCTTTTTTCACTTGACCATTCATCTGGCTACCTGGTCCAGCTCTTTTCTCCCTGTCTGACCATGAAAGTGTCATAGTAAGGCTAGTCTGGTGTTAATCTGATCTTTCCTCTTTGCAGTTTGGAGAGCGCTTTGAGTTTGACTGCAAAGATTGTGTTTGCCTAGAGGGTGGAAGTGGCATTATCTGCCAGACAAAGAAATGTGCTGGGGAAACCCAGACCACATGTGAGGAGGATGGCACCTACCTTGTCGAGGAAGTCAACCCAGATGACAAGTGCTGCAACATCACCTCATGCAGTAAGGACACCCTTGGGGCATGGGAACCATTCTCAGACCACTGGAACCATGTCCTGTTGTGGCTCCTAGTGTAACCGAGCTTTCTGCCATCCCCCGTTGGTGAGCTCAGGTTATATTATCTTGAGAGGGCAGTGGTAGTGGTTGTTAGATCAGACCAAGAGCCCCTACTCCAAGTACTGGTCTTGGCGGGTTCCACAGGGGCCTGGATCTATGCTATGCAGTGGGAGGTGGTGCTCTGTCTGGGTGATCCGTCCTGGTCACCACACTCTTGTCTGCCTTCAGAATGTGACACCAAACGATGCAAAGCAGAACGCCCCTCATGCTTGCTGGGATTCGAAGTGAAGAGCCAGATTGTGCCTGGAAAATGCTGTCCAGTTTACTCCTGTGGTAAGTAAGACCAGCAGGGCAAGGGAAGGCCACAGGCAGGGCAGGCTGTGAACAAGGGGCCAATGGAGGGAGCAGTCTTTCTCCTTGTTCGTGATAAACATCATGGCTATGGCTGTGTATTCACACAACCCTGAGTCTACTTAGGTGTGTGTGCCAGGCTGAGGCTCAGGATGGCCTCTGATGGCTTTTCCCATTTTTTTCTTTCAAGAACCCAAGGGTGTGTGTGTGCACCAGAACGCTGAATACCAGGTGAGTTCTAGACTGGGAGGGGACAGGGAGGATGGATGGCATTGTCTGTCTCCATAAAATGGAGTATGCATGGATGATGGTGTGTATGACCTCCTTACTTCTGCCTGTTCCTAAAGCCTGGATCTCCAGTGCATTCCACCAAGTGCCAGGACTGTGTATGCACTGATGCCAAGAACGACACCACCCAGCTCAATGTCATCTCCTGTACCCATGTGCCCTGCAATGTCTCCTGCAGCTCTGTAAGTGCGGCTCTTCCCTTCTCTCCCTCTTCCTGACTCAGTTTACCCACTTCTCGTCTTCTAAGAGGCACATGGGTCCATGTTCATTTCCATGATTTGCCTCCAATTTTTTAAAAAAAATATTCCTTGCCACATTGTTCCCCCACCATGGCGCTTGTTCCACGGGCTGCCTCCTCCAAGGTGAGGTATTCCAACGGTCCCAGGACCTGGTTGGTGGCAGGGACAAGTCTTTGATCTCAGCCTTGTCTCCTTCTGTGCCCACAGGGCTTTGAACTTGTGGAGGCCCCCGGGGAGTGCTGCAAGAAGTGCCAGCAGACCCACTGCATCATCGAGAGGCCCAACGAGCAGCAGCTCATCCTGAAGGTGTGTGTTCACAGACAGTGAGTGCGCAGTGTGTTCACAGATAGTGAGTGCGCAGTGTGTTCACAGACAACAGTGAGTGCGCAGTGTGTTCACAGACAACAGTGAGTGCGCAGTGTGTTCCCAGACAACAGTGAGTGCGCAGTGTGTTCACAGATAGTGAGTGCGCAGTGTGTTCACAGACAACAGTGAGTGCGCAGTGTGTTCACAGACAACAGTGAGTGCGCAGTGTGTTCACAGACAGTGAGTGCGCAGTGTGTTCACAGACAACAGTGAGTGCGCAGCGCTCCAGGCTCGTCAGCCCCTGGGCTTTAGTCAGCCCAGGTCCTACTTAGCTTGGTATGAGTGAGATCTGAAGTCCAGGATCAAGGCTAGAAGAACCTGTGAGGAGTCCTTCCGGCCTCCTCCTCTTTGGGCTCCAGTTGTGTTTGCATCATCTCTGACTTGTCTCCATGGAGCAGCCTCCCTTCTATCTGAGTCCATGTCTCCTCTTATGTCTTTCACAAGGGTGCTCATCCCTGGAGCTAGGACCACTTTGATGCGCGATGACCTCATCAGGTTCTTTCCTTGAGATTTTCAAAGACCCTTTCTCTGTTCAGAGTCACTTCCTAATTCACAGGTTAGACCCAGGTTAGAGATTTTTGTGTTATGTAACCGCGAGCAGGTAAGTTCCTGTCTCCAAGACTCTCTTATGGGTGTCACTTGCCCAGTGACTCTGGACCTAAGGGCTAGTCTCCTGTCTGTGAAGCTGTACCTCCTAGGTCTTCCTGGGCTGGCCTCTGGGGGTGCACTTGCTCATCCCCATCCCGCGTGTGTCCACAGCCTGGGGACGTGCAGACAAACCCCAACGACAAGTGTACCTTCTTCAGCTGCGTGAAAATCAGCAACCAGCTCATCTCCTCTGTCTCCAACATCACCTGCCCCGACTTCAACCCCAGTGATTGTGTTCCGGTGAGTGGGATCCCTATGGCACTGGCCATGTGTGCGCTGACTGTTGCACCAGCTGCCTGGTTTTCAGGAGGCTTGCTGCATAGTCTCTATAGGTCAGCTCTTATGTAGCCCATGGCAAGAGGGGGCACTTACCTTCTGGGCGTGCTCTGGGCTTCCTTCTCATTCCTCTTTCCCTTCAGGGCTCCATCACATACATGGCAAATGGCTGCTGTAAGACATGTGAGTACGGCTTTACCCAGAACCTTGGGCAGGAAGACGTAAGGACAGGGTGACTCAGGACTCCTGTCCCTGCTGGGTCTCCTACACTCATGTGGACATATAGGAATCTGAGTCCCCTCCCAACAAGGGCATGTTGGGGCTCATTTCCTAAAAGAACAGTGGGACTGGGAGTTAAGGGCTAGCCATGCTTGGAGAAAGGAGAGGACACAGCACAACAGATGGGGGTGGATGGAGGGAGGGAGGGGGAGAGAGGTGGGGAGCCAGTCTTAGACCACCCCCTGCACTTGCATCTCCTTCCACAGGCATCCCTAATACGAACACTAGCTTCCCCTGCTCGGCCACCACTGTCCTGAAGGAGATTTCCTACAATGGCTGTACCAAGAACGTCTCCATGAACTACTGTTCCGGCTCCTGCGGGACTTTCGCCATGTGAGTCCCAGGCTGCAAGTGTGAGATGGAGGGGTGGAGGAGCTCAAGGACAGGCCCCAGCGAGGCAGGAGGCTGATGCTGTTCCCAGGGAGTCTGGCACTCATTCTGCCCTTCCTGTCCTCAGGTACTCTGCCCAGGTCCAGGATCTGGATCACAAGTGTTCTTGCTGCAAGGAGGAGAGGACCAGTGAACGCCAGGTGACCCTGGAATGTCCAGATGGCAGTGAGCTGAGCCACACCTACACACACATTGAGAGCTGCCTGTGCCAGGACACTGTCTGTGGGCTCCCACAGGCGCAGCAAGTCCGCGTCAGGCGTTCCAGTGCCCGGCTTCTGGGAAGGAAGTGAATGGGTTCTACTGTGCCCACCCCTTCCCATCTCGCACCGTCCTGCTGACTCTCTGCACTTCCTCCACCTCTAACTTGGCTTCTTCTCTGCAGATATTTATTTTCAGAGTTTCTGTTCCATCCCTTGCTTTCTGATAATAAACCCAGGCATAGCCATTCTGGTCGTGTGGTTTCAGTTGCCTCTGCAAGAGTCAGAGCTGTCCACTACGTGGATGACTTCTGGGAACTGGGTGGGGCTAGATAGTTTGGAGAGGGTTCCACAGAGACCCTGGGGTCAGTTTTTGCTCACCAGACTCAATGTGACCCTGCCACCTGTATTACTTTCCCTTGGGCTCTGGGCTGTCTTCAGAGCACTGGGTGAGCAAAGCCCTTAAGTTCCTTTACAGACTTTTGTCCACATGCTGTGGGGAGACTGTGTTCAGATGTGAGTACACAGGTGTGTATGCACACAAGTCACACAAGTGTATATCCATGTGTCTGTGCCTATGGTGTGTGTCACTGAAGAGGCCCCAGGCATCAGAAGGAGGGGCAGGGCTTTTGCCACAAATGGGAGGAAAGGCAGTGGCAATGCTGTGGACTGTATTGCTTACATCTGTGTCACTGTGATAAATACACCCAACTACATAATAGTGTAAAGGAAGGAAGGTTTATTGGCTCAGGGTTTTGAGAGATCAGCCCATGATTGCTGACCCCATGCATTTGAGTAGGACACCAAAGCAGCAGGAACATGTGGCAGAGACAAATTGTTCACAGCATGACTGGCCAAGGCCAGGGATAATATCCTGCAAGGAGTCAGCCCCTTGTAACCTTTAGCCAGGTCTCAGCCTCCACTGAGTCTCCCCAGATAACACCCTTACCTTTCAATCTGCGAGCCTTTTTTGGGGGTGGAGTGGGGTGCAGAGATACTCCGCACACAAACTATAACATGGCTTCCCAAAGACTGCTGGGCAGAGATGTCAAACCACACAGACCTACCAGCAACTCCCTTAGCTTGGTTCAAATGTGTGTGTGTGTATGAAGGCTCCTCTCCTACTCAGAGTCCCAATAATCATGAATTGGGTTTAACATCAAAATCTAAGGATTAATATTTAAAGGAAAACTTTCTACCACATAGTAGTCAGAATGCACTCTGTTTGCAGCAATGACAAAACCTGCCAAATGTTGGAGGCTTACAACAGCATGAGGTCTGTCTTCCTCATGCTTCCTACTTGCTGCCTGTCTGGCATCTACTGCACATCTCAGCTGCCCAGAACTTGGGGTGACAGGGCAGCTTTCATCTCCAAGGTCTCTTCTGTTGTGGTGGCAAAAGGCAGCTCAGGAGTCTTTTCAGACTAAGTCCTTCAGGTCCAGTTCAGCACAGACTTTTGGATGCCGGGATTGTAATACTACCATTGAGCAGCTGGGGGAGCAGTTGGTGGCTGTCCAGTGATGGCTCTTGGATGCAAGAGAAAACCCAAATGGCCTCTCTTTGGGAAGAGAAAGTGTGTGTGTGTGTGTGTGTGTGTGTGTGTGTGTGTGTGTGTGTGTGTTCTGTGCTCTTACGCATGTGTGCTCACACACAGAGACCACAAGAGAGTAGTGAATGTCCTGGAGCTGGAGTTACAGGCTGTTATATGTACGTGTTTGTGCCGTGTGTATATGTGTGAACACATGTGTGGGTGCATGTGGAGGGCAGTAGTCAACCTTGGATGTCATTTTTTAGGTGCCGTACACCTTGTTTATGAGACAGTCTCTTCACTGAACTTGGGGGGGGCGGCATACTGATCAGGCTAGGCTAGCTGGCCAGCAAGTTCTAAGGGATCTCCTGCCTCTTCCTCCTCAGTTTTCGCATGTTTTCTGGGGATAGAATATAGGTCTTCATGCCTGATTTACAAGTACTTTACTGACTGAGCCATTTCTCCAAGATTGGAGGTGTCTATTAGTTTCCACAAATGTAAAACAATACCATATTACTTGGATATTTGCAAATGCAATAAACATAAGGCATTTGAGGACCAGTGAGATCATTCAGGGGTAAAGAGAACGGCCACCAAGCCTGGAAACCAGAGTTCAGTGCCTGGGACCCACATAGGGGAAGGAGAGGACTGACTTCAAGGAGTTGTCCTCTGACCTCGACACGTGTTGTATTACACATGCAGCCCCCACATAAACAAACAAATGAAAGAGATAAACACTTGGAAAGCACTAGACTCGGGATTATGGCCTTGTCTGTGGTGAGATTGAGAGGGGGCAACTCTGACTGTACTGTCTTGTTCCCTCAAGGAAGAACACTGGAAAGCAAAACTGGCTTCCTGCTAACCTGAGGGCTGGTGGGGTCCATCTTGCTCTTCTTTGCCCTTAATGTTTAAAGTCTCTGGTAAAAACAGCTGGGGTGCCATAGACTGCCCAAGCCCCTCAACTGACACCCACGTTCAGGGGGCCTGGTTCGGTCCTGTGCTGGTTTCCCAGCTGTCAGTCTGGGATCTGTGAGCTCCCACTTGCTCAGGTCAGCTGTTTCTGTGGGTTTCCCCAGCATGGCCTTAGCCCCTTTGCTCATTACTCCTCCCTCTCTACAATTGGATTCCAGGAGTTCTGCTCAGTGCTCAGCTGGCAGTGGAACCAGTATTTATCCCTAGTGCCACAAATAGGCTTTGGGAGCCCATTCCCTATGAAGGGATATTCTTTCAGCCTAGATACATGGGGTGGGGGGATTGGGGAGCTAGATCCTGCACCAAATGATGTGACAGACTTTGATGATCCTCATGGGAGGCCTCACCCTCCCTGAGGAGTGGATGAGGGGTGGGATGGGAGGATGGGAAGGAGAGGGAACTGGGATTGGTATGCAAAATAAGATTGTTTTTAATTTAAATAAGAATTACTTAAAAAAATGGCGTGCCAGTGAGTGTGTACTGGGTCACCAGCAGGGGGAGCCAGAGAATGTGTTCTGGCTCATCAGCAGGGGGAGCTAGAGAGTGTATACTGGGCCACCAGCAAGGGATCTTGAGGCCACAAGGTCTTGAGTCACTTGCTTTTTCTTCTCTGCTTGAGTTGGTCTTGCCACTCTTGTCCTTCTGCCCCTGTGACAGCTCCATGGCCTGAGTTACACAGACTGAGTTTAACATCAACGGCCAGAAACAAGGGCTAAGTAGGACCTTTGTGGAGGGAATGGGCTCTGAAAACGTCATAGTGCTGGCAGACCATGGGGAGAATCCCAGAATGTGCAGAAGGAATGGTGTCCATTCAGACCCAGTCTGAAGGAATCTGTCAGCCATACCAGCAGCTCACCCTCTTTCTGAGCCCCTGAGAGGAACCAGGTTTTCCCTGTGACTTCAGACGACCCCCCCCCCTGCTTTGGCTGAACTGTATGTACTGTGGAAAAGTCATACATTGAAGCCATAGCTTCTAACACCTCTGAGCAACTGTTTAGAAAGAAGGTCCTTTTCTTTGGAATTTGTTTTTTATTTTATGTGTTTGAGTGTTTTGCCTGCATGTAAGTATGAGTACTACATGCATGCCCGGTGCCCTCAGAAGTCAGAAGAGGACACCAAATTCCCCAGAACTGGAGTTACAGATAGTTATGAGCCACCATGTGTGTGATAGGAACGGAACCACTGATCCTCTGTAAGGACAAGTGCTCTTAACCATTGAGCCATGTATCCCTCCACCGAAGACGTCTTTGAAAAGACAATTAAATCACAATGAGGTTGTTATGATGGGGCTTAATCTAACTGGCTAAGGATTAAGAGGAGTTCAGGACATGGGCACACAGTATGACCACATAAGAACACTGTAAGCCAAGGAGAGACGCTTCAGGAAAGGCCAGCCCCGTGACTCTGCACCCTGGCTGGTGCTTTGTCATAGTGTCCTGAGCTAATGAACCACACCCTCAGCTGTTTGGGGCAGGGAACCCAGGAGCATGGAGCATGGCCCCCAGAAGCCACGGATATGCCTAACTGATGTGGTCAGCATTCCTCTAGTGAAAATGCAAGGGCAACAGGAGTGGTCTTTAGAAGGGAGACCGTATCTACATCTTATGCCGACGGCATGACTCTCAAAGCCTCCACTGCTTTCTCAGGCACAGTGCCCAGGGGGTTGTCACAGCTGAAAGGCTGGATGAGACCTTGGCACTGAGCTAGAAGATAGCTGGGACCACCTGACCACCCTGGCTCAGAGCCCCTATTGTTACTCCAAAGGCCTCATGGTCCTGGAAGCCCCGGGTGTGTTGTGAAAGCCTATGGTGTTACTCTGCTGTTCTTAGCTTTAGATTGGCCCTTGGTCTTTGGGACATCCAGATAGCTTGGTGTTGTCCCTTCCGCATCTCAAAGATGAGGTTGTGATCGGAACCATGCCCACCTCATGAATCTGGGGGTCATTTCACTGTGTCAGACCCAAAGCCAAGTCTGACCCTGGCATGTCTTGGCATGGAGGCCCTTTCCACACAACCTCTTTCTCTCCACAGGCTTATGTACCAGGGCCCAACAACATGGCTTCCATTGCCCATTGTTGAAAAGTGTCTTTTTGGTGGCAAGGCTGGTGACATCCTCTCATCTCAGGGGCTGTAACCAGGATACAAAATACTGGTTATCAGGACTTGGCAGTTTTCTGGGCCAGTGAGTCACCTAATTGTCCTCATACTTCCTGTGCAGGTGAGGGTGGCTCCTACCAGCCAAGGGATACAGATAATGGCTTGGCTGTCATTCTGCACCTGTGATCTTTGCTCTTCAACTTAGGGGTCTCCAGGGTTCCAAGGTCATTTGACCCCTTGGTTCTGGGTTCTGTGCCTTGCTCCTGGCCTAAGGCAGTTGTAACCAGGGCCCCTTCCTTCACTGTTGACTCTGTTGATCTAGCTTCAGCCTCTGGGTAGAGGGACAGGGATAAAATTGGTCAGTTTTGGTGCCTCTGACAACTGTTCCTTCACAGAAGCTGAGGCAGGCTCTGAACATGGACAATGGGAACTGCAGTCACAGGACGGGTGTGTGGCCAGTCCTGCAGGAGGAGACCTGAGACCAGTTTAGACCAGGTTAACAGAGGGAAGATAGGGCCTTCCTTCTGCCCTATCTGGTTGGCCATGGTGACCTTCCTGCCTTGCACTGGTCACTGCTGGATACACTGGCCCTCACTGGCCACTCTGCTTATATGCCACATCTTCACCTCAGAGGGGCTCCCATTTCATAGAA